AAAGGGTTAAATTCAATTATACAGCATACCAAACAAAATCCAAAAAGTACATTATAACAAGGGATTTTATAGTGCTGTAAATAGTGCTGTTCTGAGAGCCAGCATGGTAAGAAGTTAAGGTGTTAAGACTAGGAGTAGGGAGATCCAGTTTCTTGTCCTCCCTTGGGCATGGAAATTGGCAGAGTGATTCAATCCTAGAAGTTGAAGAACTTCTGCCTATCAACCTGCACTGGATCAACATGATAGATTACATAACCATCAATAAAAAAGCCTTCATCCTGCAGTGGACTGATGTGGGATACTGGTTATCAAGCTTGGCAACTTTAAAATGTGTGGACATGTGCTTTCAAAACTCCACATATCTTAAAATTGCTATTATGAAAAATGTTGATGTAGGATAATAACAATAACAACAACGAAAATAGGATCAAATATTTAGTTTTCCATTTCTATTACATTTCCAAAGGGCTCAGTAATATTTTCAAGAAGACTCTGAAAATTAGATTGAAAGTTCAAAGTGCCTGTGAACAAATGCTACATGGAGGGGCTGCACTATATTTGTAAAAAAAAAAAAAATTCTAGAGAATTGTTGGCTATAAAAATTGGATTGGCTAGATACAGCATTCTACATTTTTAGAATATGTATTATCATTTATAGGCATGAATTGAAAGATGTAGCAATTTAGAGCAGCATATTGCTCAGAGTATATATAACTGCAGTATCTTCAGCTAGTAAGTGTGTAGTAACAATAAATATGTAATGGTAACAAATAGTAAGTCACTATATAAATAAAATAATACTGTACTGGTGCTGACAAATAATGCCAAATAATTACATCTATTATAATTTCACAGATATGGAAACAGATTTGGAGGACAAGCTTTTCAGAAATTGTAGATATGTTGCAAGATGTATAAAGCCTTTTGACATTTTTAACGAACTGTATTGTATAGGAGTATAATTAAAGCCAAATATTTGAAAATACAAATGGAACATTTGCACTACTAGTCTTGAAGAGATGAATCAATACTTTGAATCCTAAATTGTAACCAATTGTTTTTGAAGATATTTATAGGTTATTTTCTATATTTCAGGGCTCTTTGTTACCTGAATCTGAAGCAGTACAAAGAAGCAATTGTGGATTGCTCAGAAGCCCTTAAAATAGATCCTAAGAGCGTCAAGGCATTTTACAGACGAGCACAAGCATATAAAGAGCTTAAGGTAAAGAACTGTGGTTTTTTTTAGTTTTAAATAAGTGCACAGTCAGCATAGGGCACTCAGATTTATATTAGTTGGTAAGGAAATAATTTCATTGGGTTCTCTTAAGATTTTCAGTAAATAATATTCCTTACAATGTAGATCACTTTTATTGCATTGCATTTAAAGAACCATCCTGCAAATTTGCAGACAGCTATTGGAGCTGTTTATCATATTTTGCTGGAGGGTGGGAGTTTGTGGTTCTTCTGTGTAAGTTAAAAAGACAACTCCAAACAATTCTTTCTTTGCTTATAAAAGTGGACAGTACATACAGGGGCAGATATTATTTACAGTTAGAACAGTATGGCTTCAACAAAATCATCAAAGTATTTTAATCCATTAAAATACACCAAAGGTATTTTTCTTACAATTTTGTTTCTGTTTCTCTAGGACTATAAATCCAGCAAAGCTGATATCAACAGCCTCTTGAAAATTGAACCAGAGAACAGTGCTGCTAAGAAACTACAACAAGAACTAAACAAGCTTTTAAAATAAGATAGCTAGAACATTGTGCTTTTCTGATATGTGTTTTGTTTTTTTAAAAAGATTACTGGGATGCATTTGCAAAATCCTAGACCTGCTGATGTTTCTCTGGTTCCTTCCCTTATAAAAAGTGTCCATTCTTCCTCCTGCAGTTCTAAAAATTCTATGTTATCTCTTGAGATCTGCAAATTATTTAGAAGAGGAGCTAGGCTGCAAGTATCTCTTCTAGAGAATTGTTTTTAATTTGTCCAATGTACTCCTAGTGTGTTTGCACAGACAGAACCATTATAGTGGCTGATTGATGAAAGTCTTAGCATAACAAACAAGAAGTAAGACTTTCAAGATCCTGCTTTGCCTTAATTTTTGTCGACTAGCTTTGGTGGAGCATTTTGGTCTTCAATGTATTATTTGGAAATCTAAAAATGCTTTTGTCCTTTACTATAGAATGGCATGTTGTCCTTTCTTCATTTTATCTATACCTTTTGGCAGTTTACCTGTTCAATTCTTGGTAATTAAGCTTAATTTCACATTCTCTGAAGTTAAATACATGTTGAAATATGTTACTCTTTTTCAAAGATACTTTTTTTTCATTTTAACCTTGTTATAAGCTAAAATTCATGTGATGGAGGAGTGAAGAGAGGATCAGTTGAGAATGGCCCAATCTCAGGGATGCTTTTGCATCTGTTACGGTTGCTTATCTACAACCTAGATTCCTGCGAGCAAAACAAACCCTCAGAATAATTCAAAAAAACATCTCTGTAGAGAGGACTGAGTCATGTATGTTGGACAGCTCACAGTATCTCTCACATTGGCCATGTTTAGATGGGTTTGTTGGGCAGCTGTAATTTGGCAACATCTTCTAGGTGATTACATATTTTCCTTTCCTGCTATAGAGAATAGATAGCAGAAGAAAAAACACATTTTTTTTAGTATTCAGCCTACTATCCTGATTCTCTACTTGAGTAGGAGAATTGAACATCCACTTGCTATTTGGTAGAAATGCTATCTAAGATTTACCAATATGTCACTTTTAAAAAATCCTTACATCTTCTACAGTACCTATGCGGATGTTGCTACTCAAATTACGCTGTCTCTGCAGCTTTTCCAAAGTGGGTCTGTAGACACCCACTTAGAGCATTACTACTACTTGTCTTAGTGAGAAAAGAGCCTTGCCTTTACAGCGTAGAGACTATGCACCAAGCATAGTGAGCTGTCCATTTTGAGAAGATCCATTTTTAATGTAATGTGGAGTATGATTTGTTCCTAAAAATTTTAGAGAGAGAGGAAAAGTCTTTCCTTGGGCCTTGTTGAAAGGAATAAAGCTTGTTGCTTACAATATCAAGTTACCCTGTTATTTTTAACTTTCAAAATAAACAAGCTGTTATGGATATAAATTCAGAATATTCCAAATCTCTTCTTTTTTTGGTGTTATAATACTGGGTATCTCTTTGTTTTGAAAGAAATTTATCCTAATTTCATCCATACATTATCATTGTGTTATTTCATCCCCAAGAGGGAAAGGATCTACACCAGAAACACATCTAGCACCTATAACTGCCAAACAATACTATCCCCCCCCCCAAAAAAATAAATTTAAACCCATTAAAATCTCATAATTTGTGAAAGTTTCCACTTTGTGGGAGGTCGGGATGGGATAGTCGATCTACTTTTTCTTTGAGATATCATTGTCCTAGAAGATTTTCAACCAATCTTCCTCCCCTTTTTTTGGAAAGGTGGAGAAGGTGATCAGGCTTCAGCTTCAATGGGCCTTGGAGGAAATAAATTATTTGGATTTGTTTCAGTCAGGTTTTAGTATAGCACTGACATGGAATTAATTATCCTGGTGGATCTACATATTAAGGCAGATAGAACATCAGAAAAAAGAGCCATTACTTGTGTGGCATAAATACAGCCTAGATGAATACCCAATTTCCAGACAGGGTCTTCAGTTTTCCTTCCCTCTTTTGGAGCCAACTGGAGTTGGATCACATAAATCCCCAAACTGAGCACAAGCATAGGCCCAAATGGTAGTATGAAATATAGCTCTGGAATGATGGTACCATACTTGTCAGGAAAATAAAAGTTTATCATGAGTCTGGTTTATGGCATACAGTATGCCATAGGCTGAAAGACCCAGGGCTCTTCACAATAAACAAACTATTATCTTGCATATATATAAAACCTCAATTTCCTTTTTTGGTCACCCTCAACAGGCAAGTCAGTCAAAATATCCTAAACCAGCTCCTGGATTAGGAAGCCTACTCACAGTTACTTGTCTGGATTAATAGACCATGTTCTAGATGGGCTTCCTTGAAGGCGACTCAGAAGCTACATATGATCCAGAATTCAGCAGTTATGGGTACACCTAACTACACACATATAATATCACCCCCGCATAAGTTGCAGTGATTATTGGTATACTTCTATTATTCAAAGGGTAGGTTACTGTGTACAAAGCCCTTTATGGCACAAGGCTAGGATATTCGAAGAATTGTCTTATCTTCCTTTCTCTGCTCATCCAAGAATATCAAAAGGTTTGGCATATTCCAGGTCCCATCTATTTAACAGTGGCAGAAAGCTTGAACTATTGTAGTTCCTATTAAATAGAACATTATCCACTCAGAGATCCAGATGGTTCCAACCCTGCCAGATTTTAGAAAGTCCCCCCCCCCAAAAAAAACCTCTAGTTCTTCCCACAGTCAGCAGGTCAGGATGTTCCATGAGCCATCAGAGGGTTAATATAGGCAGTTCTCAGATTCAGCTGTTCAAAGTTACAACAGCGTGGGCAGCATGAATGGTACTTATGAAGGTCCTTGTAGTATTGGCCACCACAGCGAATTGCAAATTTAATGTCAAAATTTCTGATGTTTCCTGACAGCTTCCACAAACAAAAGTCAGTGGCGAAGCCAGCAGGAACCTGGAAGTCACAGTCGTAAGGGCCTTACTTACGGAGCCACATGGTTGTCACTAAACAATGGCAACCAGGCCTGCCAAAACTGCCATTGCTAACTGATAATGGTTGTTGATATCACACTTAGCAATAGCAATTCCAGTCCTAATAAATTTTGATTTTGGTGCGACAGATCTGTGTGCTTTTTAATGGTATTTTTTCCTTGGATTTTTATTATTTATATTCCTTTGCTGATTTCTGTGTTGTTCGTGGCCAGAATTGCTTGCAAGTGGACAGTCATATAAACTGAATAAAATAAATCCAAAAATAAGCATTTGGAAAGTTTAGAATCCACCCACAAACAAAAAATTTGGTTGTTTCTGCCATTTTTACAGTAAATGTGAAGAGTAGCATCTAAAAAAGGAGACATAGGTTGGTGAAGTGAAGTTTCAGCTATTTTTATCAAGTCAACAGCAGGAATAAATAAAATACTGGTACAGGCTCTCAAGTTTAAGATTACAAAAAAAAGAACCAGGATTGAAAAATAAATTTGCAAAAAATAACATAAAGAGTATAATTTTGTTCCATTTTTATCTTCCTACTGCATCATTGTCATATATACCAGGCTTACCAGGATTACATATGGGAAAAGTTACTTTAACAGCTATTCAGTGCAAAAAAAAGAAAACAATTCAAATCGGGCTAGATTTTTGCATGAACAACTAGTTTAAAGAGATATTAACAAAATCTCTGGTAGCATGAAGGTTTTTCCTCTCTTCAGTGGGGACTGTCCATTTTCTTTTTTTTCCTGCAATGACACATTCAGTTTTAATTGGAGAAGCCAAGGTCAATTTTTTTTTTAACAAATGCTGCTGGTTAACAGATTTTCAAGAGCTTTTTTTCCCAGCTTCACAGCCTCAGCAACAACTTCTTTTTAAATCAATAGTTCTTTCATTTCAATGTGAAAGTGAGCATTTGCATCCAATTCCTCAATTGTAAATTAAACCTGTCCTCCTAGATGGGCCTTCCTGCATTCCTTGTGCATTTTAAATCTTTTATACTATTAACATACATTTCCTGCTAAAGCTGTTTTTCTCAGTGTTATCAGCTTTAAAATGTGTGGACATCAGCTCCTAGCATTCTGGGAATGAAGTCCATGCGTTTTAAAATTGCAGTGATTGACCCTGTGCTAAAGTGTTCTATGCAATGGAAAGTAATGCTTATAAGTGAGGAAGGGGAAGGCCACTGAAACAGAATATTGACTTTGCAAAATCACAAGACACTGAGGAAATGGAAAGCTAGACTCAGCAGGTAATGCTCACTCAGCGCACCTTCATCAGGGGAGAAATGCCATTGAACTGCTCTTGTGGGTTGCTTCAGAGATCTGATGGGCTTGAAGCACAGCTACTGCTTCCTCGATCTAACAAAGGCAAAGCCAAAGACAAGATTGGAGTTTAGAACAGTCAGTTGCAGACTTTGAAATATCATTGTTTCTGCATCCAAAGAATCCAACACACATCAGGACAAAGCCTTTAAAAGGAAAAACTCCACTTGAATTTTGCTGGTACAGTAGCGCATGCTTCTCCATAGCCCTGCTGATGCTTTGATATTAGCAGTCCCAAAATTCATTGACTCCAATTCCAATTCTCCTGAAAGACCCTAAGTTGGAGAAGACTCTAATAACATATTGACACAACTCCTTTGCTACTTTTGTAAAATGGGCCCTACTCAACAGATCTGGGAAGATGTCTTTATAGTCCAGATCATCTGTTTACTTGTGGGCTCTCTCTCTCTCTCTCTCTCTCCTCTCTCTCTCTCTCAATTCTTGGCATTGAACCCAACTTCACAAGCCTTCTGATGAACAGTCTTGCTGTAAAATATTGGAAAAGGGGCTAATAATTAAGAACAATTCCACTCAAAGCCACTTTGTTATTTCTCAATGAAATTCAACGTTTTGTTTTTAATCCACACTTGAGCTTTTGAAATACATGAAACTCTTTCATGCTAATGAAGGGGAGGAAGAAAACAGATGCGACTTGGCACAGAGATAAAGCACCCAAGTACTTTTAACTAAAAAATGTTCCTGAGAACAGTGATAAGCTACGGCCAGACCATGAATTAAATTACTGTACAGGTAGTCCTTGATTTACCACCCTTCCTTTAGTGACCATTCAGAATGATAAAGGCATTGAAAAAAGGTGACTTATGGCCAGTTTTTACACTTACAACAATTGCAGTTTCCCCATGATCGTGTTATCAAAGTTTGGGCACTTAGCCATCGGAATGTATTTATGACAATTGCACTGTCCTGGCATCATGTGATCACCATTTTGTAACTTTCCCAGCTGGCATCTGACAAGCAAAGTCAATGGGGAAGCCAGATTCACTTAATGAACCTATGATTCACTTAAAAAGAGCAGTGATTCACAACTGTGGCAAAAAAAGTCAGAAAATGGGACACAACTCACTTAAAAACCCCTTGCTTAGCAATGGAAAGTTTGGGCTCAATTGTGGCTGTAAGTCAATAATTGCCTGTAGTCAATCTGTCCTTCTAGGATCAAACCTGCTTCAATACAGGTACATGAATATAGATATATAACAGATTTTCTTCCTTATCACAGTTCCTTCACACTGCCTTTTTAAACAAATCTATCATTTTCACAATCTACCATGCTTTCTTCTGACCATAGTTCTGATCCTTCTTAGAACTTATCATACTCAGAGTAGCACTCCCATATCATGCTACAATAGATCAGACCAGTAATAAATACATTATCAGTATATGCAACCACTAGATTCTAATTCAGAAATTTGGTAGCGCTATTTTGATAATGGCATCCTTTCTAGAGGCATCTGGTTGGCTACTATAGGAGACAGAACAATGGACTAGGTGAACCTTTGCTATCACTCTTCCAGTAGCCCTATGTTCATAAGGTTGAAATAGGAGTGAAGGTGTGTAGGAGTGAATACAGTTAATATTTCTAGGCTGTTGGTATGTGTTCTTCCCTCATGCTATCATTATAATGGATCACCATTGAAAAGTTAAAACAGATATGCATTTGTGGATCCATGCAATACTTAAAGGACAATTACATAACCCCAATTTTATATAGTAGCACAAAGGATAATCAGGAGATATGAAAGAACAAAGCAGGTGGAAAATCAGTCTGCTTGGTAAAAACTGAATTGAAAAACAGCCACAGACATGCTACTGAGACAAATTAACCATGCAGACCAACCTAACACAAAGTAGGACAGTTCATTCCACCTGAAAAATTTGGAATTGCATAATTAGGGCATTTTTAAGCATGGAATCCCAGTACCTTAGACTGAAGGGATTCTGGTGACTCCAGCATGAGAAGCAGATCAGAATTATCTATCTCCAACAGCATGCCTGTAATCTTTCCAGCCAGAGTGGGGTGCCTTGCATGAATTAGAGGATAGAGACGTTCACCTATGCACAGCAAAAAAAAAAAAAAAAAGATAAAATAATGTATCATGAAGAACTGTCCTGTAGGAATCACTAGATGACTTAGGCTGATTTCAAAAAACTAAGTAGACTTTATCTTGATTAAAGTCAGGTAGGAAGGCTCTTAGAAGGTATAGGCTACATTGGGAAGTTGACAAAAACATCCCAGGTGACAACTTCTGCACTGTTACCCCAAAACCTCTACACAATGTGCCTATAAAGGCATTACAAACTGAAGTTGATTGAAGTAAGCTTTATCATTTGTTTATCAAGTGATTGAAATTGGAAAACTCAAGGTTTAAGATTTACTAAGGCAATACCTCTCCCTCTTTTCTCTCCAGTACTCACTGTAACAATTTCATCTCCTTTGCTTGCTTTATTCTAAATGCTATAAAGTGCACATGGGCAACACTGAACTAACTCATGAAGCGAGATTTTTTCCTTAGCATATTTCTTGCATCTGTATTGTCCAGAAGCACTGGGGTAGAGGAGGAAAAAGCAACTAATGCTGACTCCAGGACTCAGTGTGGTGGTCAGAAGCATATAATTCAGGGTGAGACTAGAAAGCTAAGTCTGTGAAGATAATTGGATAATAATTCTCATCTCTTGCAATAGAAAAGAAGTAGTATTTTATCAGCTAAAAGATGCATCTCTCCCGATCTTTTTACTACAATTTGATTTATTCTGGTTTATTCCTATACATGTTCTACATACAGAGTTGTAGAGCATTCATTTAAGAAACTAACCTTCTAAAATACTGCATATGCCATTAGTCTATTTCAACAGCTTCCCCAAGATTTGGACGCTACCCACTGTATTAACCTTTAAGAGAACTATAAAGACTTGGCTCTTCACCCAGGCTTTGGGCTAGGATAGAAATGAACTCAGCAAATGCAAGAGCATGGAAAATTACCGTATATGACTTTGCAGCACTATGTTTGGAATATATGAACTTAATGTTTCATTTATTCTGATTTTATTTTAATGTTGTTGTGAGTTGCCTAGGATTATCTTGTATCAGATAGGCGGCCATGTGAATTTCTAAATAAATAAATAAAAGCTTTAGATAATTTGTAGAAAACATTATGACAGACAGAATTTAGAACTAGCATAATACAGGGAGTCTTTGCTTAACAATCATTCATTCAGTGACTATGATGGCACTGAATGAGTTTTCTCACTGGTCCTCATAGTTGCTTCCATTGCAGCATCTCTTCAGTCAATTGCAATTCAAGCACTTGCAACTGGATTGTAGTTACAATAGTTGTGGTGTTACATGGTCACATGTCTCAATTTGCAATCTTCACAACTGCCTTCTGACAAGGATAGTTAATGGGGAAGACAGCAGGAAGTCATAAATGGTGATCACATGACATTGCACTTAACGACCAGGAAGGATTTTGTTAATGACAGCACCCAGAATTGCCAGAACTGTAGTCATAAGTTGGTGCAGTCACATGACATCACATTGCTTAGCAATAGAGTTTTCAGTCCCAATAACTGTACTGTTGTTGAGCAGTATATGTACATCCATTGACAAGAAACAATGGATGGAAACTAATCAGAGAGAGAAGCAACCTGGAATTAAGGAGAAACTGCCTAACAGTGAGAACAATTAACCAGTGGAACAGCTTGTCTTCAGAAGCTATGGATGCTTCAACACTGGCGGTTTTTAAAGACAAGACTGGAGAGCTGCTTGGGGTTGGACTGGAAAACTGATTGATTGATGTACATCTTTTTTTAGGCAACATTGTTTTCTAAGCTAAACTGTGATAACTCAAAAGCATAAAATATTTGATTATAACTTTTTCTCTGAGAAAGTTCTGGCTGAGGGGGAAGTCCACAGTGCTGCCTATTAGAAGAGGATACACACCACTCACCAAGTATTTGTTTCTGTTCTTGAGGAGGGGCCGCAGCCAACATGGATGTGGTCAAGGGCTCCTGTCCCTGGATATGAATGATTGGTTCTACAGCCTAAAGCCCAAGAAACAAAATATACTGAGAAGAGCCCTTCCATTCCTGCTGAACAACTAATATCAATTGATGACACTCTGTGAAGAATGCATTTGTTAGAGTTTTTTTTCTTCTCTATAGCAGCTTTAATATCAGTATCTGTCCAACTCAAATCTTATCCAGTGAAAGAATCTTTTCTCCTGGCCATATTGAAGAAACAATACAATACCTTTGATTTCCATACACCATACAATAAGCATTATATACAGTAGCTTAAGTTAAATCAAAAGATGGAATGTTGTAGTATAATAGCTCCTTTTCATACAGAAAGCCATAGACCTAATCCTTAATTTCTGAAAGCAGAGTTGTCTTAAAGGATGGAAAGCTGCTGTCAATCATTGTAGCTCCAAGGTCCCCACTATGTTCTGACTCCTGGACAGATACTGAAAGTACTTTGAAGTATACTCTCAATCCTATATGTCTTTTAATGAAGATATGCTTTTGTGTAATCAAATGCAGAAGAGAACAATCTTGTATTTTAAGTATAATAATAGCACTAGGAATTTCAGGAGTGCAGTGCTCTCCTTTTCCATCTACAGGGAAACATGGGAAAGGAATGTTATTGGTAATCTGGTCACTTTACCTGGTCAACCAAGTGTGCAAACATGAACTGGATAATGATCTGGCTCACTGGTTTCTCAGTGAGTGAGTTCTCCCTGATATCCAGCTTAAGACCACTCCCAAATCAGAATCCCAGCTCTACATATCACTGCTACAATTTGCCAAATTCAGTATCTCAAAAATAACCCATCTAAGAGCAGTTAGCTTTTGCATCTAAGTGTGTATTTTCACTGTAGAATGGAAGAGTAGAGACCTGTTGCATTGGCAGAGATGTCACTGTACCCAAAGGATGGACATTCCTCACAGCTGAAGAATACTTGTACTGCGAGATACCATGTGAGAAAGTTGGAGAAGAGGATGCTCTTGCACTAATGGTCTGGGTTCCAATGTTGACTGGAATAAAACCAGAAATATTTTTGAAGAAAGGCTTTAATTGTTCCACAACATTACATGTTTATTTTAAAAAAAACGTTTAAAATAGCAGAGTTCTGCATTGCACCCAAACCTGGGAAGGTACAGATCTGTAATATCCTTGCCAGATCTCACATGCATGATACATAGTACAAAAGTGGAAAGATATACCCAGTGACACTCCAGGAAGAAAGATTACATTGGGCATAAAAACTCTTGGTGATTATTTTGTCCAAAGTAGGCACCCAAAAAGTTACATTTTCATTCGTCTGCCGTCAACACATTTAGTCCAATTAAGCCATAAATTTAATTTCTTGGGTTACACTTAATATTAATGTGTCTTATTTGTTTTAGCTTTGTGTAAACTTATTCCTTTTGGCCAACCCCCATGGGCTTGCTCGGTAAGCCAAAACAAAATCCAGATTTATATTACATGGTACTATATTCTCAGACTATATTTTCCAATCATGCTACATAGAAATAGACTTCCAAAACTTAGAATATAGGAAGGTTTTATATTTAGGTTTTATATTAAGAAATAAATAGCACATTGTAGAATTTAATGTGCAAACTTTAAGAATCATTTTCCTCCTGTTTCTGGTCAGTGATTCAAAAACCAAAGCAAGCCCATTCCCTTGAGATACATAAGTTGCATTCATCTGACGATGAGCTAACAGAAGCCCCAAACCTACCCACTCTTTGGCCAGTGGAGGGTACTCTGGGAACTTGAGTGGAGGCTTGTCTCATAGTGCTGATGTTGGAAACGAAGCGGCGAGGCGGTCCATTAGCTCTTACCATTGGCGTAGCTGCATGATAGGATGCTAACAACAATTAAATACCTTCAGTCAGAAACCTTATTTATGGATGAGATCATAGCAGGAGTTAATACCAGAATTCTGGTTCATTCTCATTACTGAACTTACAATTAAGACTACCAGTTATGGACGCTACCACATAATATGTGAATCATAGTTTGGTTGCTATTTTAAGAACATTTCTTAGTCCTATACCATGGCATTAAAGGAAGAACTTCACACATGGGCAACCTCATTTCCTTACATTCTCACACATATTTTCTGGTTAATAACATTTCAACTCACAAGGAAGCCTTGAGGATTGAGTGTTCCAGCGAGGGGCTGGGCGGACCGGGGCAACTGGGCTAGGACTGTAGAAAGTAGCTCTAGTTTGTGGCTGAGAAGAAGGAAGAGAAGGTGGCATGACAATATATATAAATGAACAATATGTTTATTTTTACTTCATTAACATTTTGAGCATATAAAGGAACCAAAATGGGGATTTTATAAGTTCTGTGATGTTTTTATTTTTGTAGTTCCAGTATTATTATAGATTGTTGCTATCCTGCACTAGGATTATAAATCTAAGCACTTTTTCCCAATCCGGTGCCTCCAGATTGGGATTTTCAGATCTAACCCAATGATTGATGAACTCATTAATGTATCCAGGCAGGTTTCATGGCAACAATATGAAAATGTTTTGCTATTGTCTTTTTATTTTCCAGTCAAGGCTTCAGTTATATGCATACAGTAACTGAATAATGTTCCTGGCTGGAGATGACTATATGAAACTGTTGTCAACCTAGTGAATTTCAAATGTATTGGACTACAGATTTCAATCAAAGCTTGGTGAATGAACAATGATGAAGCCTCTCTTTACATGCAACAATTCACTTTGTTTCTTATTTGAAACAATTCATAGCTTCTTTTTCAGACTTCTCTTATAACATTAAAATTTGAGGGCATTCAAATAAAGCTGATTAGATTTCGAAGAGCCAAAATAATACTTCTTCACAGAGTGCATAATTACCTTGTGGAAACAATGCCCATAAGAATGATGTTAGGCACTAACAAAATTCTAACTTAGTGTTACATGGTACCAAAAATCCAATTTTTCCCCATTTTTTGTTGTAATATTTTAAGGATCAAATAAATCCTTTATTTGATTAAGGAGACTGCATTTCACTCCCCATCTCTGGGCCCCAAACAAAAAGAAGCTCCCTGATGATGCCATGATATCATTGGCACACTGTAGTGCCCACAGGCAGGCACAAAGGCAAAATAGAGTCCCCAGGTTGAAAAAAAAAAGTAGTCCATCCTAATAACTTACATGCCCCAGTTATATAAATTTGATTCTGATGCCTGATGGCACATTTTAAAATATGCATCTCAAGGGAGGTGTTTTCCTATTCCTTGAGGTCTGTGCTGCCAAATGCTATTAGCTTTATTTATGTATCTTTAATGGAAGTGGTATTCTTATTGGTCTTACCTGTGGAATCGAGGACAGGAAGTAGCCTGCAGACGGTTGGAAAGAATATAGGAAAGGACCAGAAAAGGACCTCATGGTGGCCAGTCTCTGCATGTATTGGTTGGTGAGAATGGCTTTTCGCTCCTCTTTCCGTTGGGCAAGGGCAACATACAAAGGCTTAGTGCTGACGATGCGTCCATTCATTTCAGTCACAGCCTTTGTCGCTTCTTCTGGAGAAGAAAAACATACAAACCCAAAACCTTTGCTGTGTCCGCCATCTGTCATTACCTGAATGGAAAATTAAAACAAAGTCCATTGAGCCCATGACTCTCAGCACAGACAGGAATGTCCACCCTGATCAGTACGGTCAAACCAGACAAGATGGTGCTTACAAATAGTGCAATTAAATTTTGTTTTATTTAGCATATGGCATCTACAAAGGTCATGCAATCACTGATATATAACACTAATACACAAATACGCATTTACATAAAGCATCAGCGCGTTTGTGTACGTGTACAATACAATACAAGAGATAAAATATTAAATTAAGGTAAAACCATGATAAAATCTCCATAATGTGGCACCATAGAGTCACAATAGGATAGATTTTCCAATTCAATATCTAGGGAAGCTAACCATCTAACTGCTTCTGGTATGACTGCAATGAGATCATCCCAGGTGTATGAAGTGTAGACCACTTCCACGGTGGTATACCTCAGACAAGGTCCTATCCTAACAGAGCAGTTAAAAGTCTAAGCACATGGTAACAAACTGGATATTGCATCTTTACTGTCAAAAATTAAATTCTTTTGTTATATTAACAGTTGCAATTAAGAAAGTTTGGAAATATTAAAACTCTCAATTAAATTCTTGTTTTCAATTGAAAACTAACAGTTATATCCAACAATATGGAACAGATTTCTTTTCACTTTTCTTCAAGCAGAAGTCCCAGATTTTTTCCAAAACTGTAGAACAGATTTGAATATGCATCAGCTTTAGAATCTGCCTTGCTGGTGAAACAGTATATATCAGGGAAATGACGCTAATTGATTTAATTCTAAATGTCCTTCCCTGGTCCTTATTACAAGCTTCATATTATACTGTGCCCAACCTGTTACATAGTAATCAATGTATTAAATTAATTTATTATTTCAAGAGTGCATTTCAAGACTTACACACACACACACACACACACACACACACACAGAGAGAGAGAGAGAGAGAGAGAGAGAGAGAGAGAGAGAGAGAGAGAGAGAATTTGCAGAAATTTGGTTCTATTGGATAATAGAATAGATAATCTTATATATATATATATATATTAGTAAGCCATATTGCTATCCCCCTGTATTCAACAACTGTACAAAACAAGACTTGTATTTTGTGCTTTCAGGCAGAAAAAATAGATTAAAATATTTTAAATAAAAGACATAGCAATCAGAATTACTGCAGAAAATACAAGGCATAGAGGGGGTAATTAATTATAATTACATGGAGACCGACTTTGGTTATTGGAAGGTTTAAGCATATTAATAAATAAAAATCAATAAAAAATTTAAAAAGGGACAGCAGTGCAAGTGAGAGCTCCTGTGATTATTATTCCTTCCATATCATGCATCCCTACATATTAAAATTCCACTACGTTTTGGTAAAGGAAATTATGAAACAAGTTCAAACTGCATTCTGAAAGGATACAGCCCAGTACTATTTTCAGTTGGTGAGAACAGCTAGCAAGCATCCACATCAAATATGCAAAGATACTCAGATATTAGAATCTGACCTTGGCACTTGTGATGGTTCCATAGGGTGAGAATTCTTTTCTTAACTGCTCATCACCAATACCATCATCCAAGTTCTTTACATACAAGTTTACTCCCTGAAAGCAAACAAGTACAGCTTTTTGCATTCACCATAAATGATATTTAGACACGACTTTTGTAATGAATACATACATATAAGTGACATCATCCAGTATCATAAGACTGAAAGAATCTTATCTGCCATCAAGAGAAGTATCTAGGGTTTAGGATTAGCTTTATCAGACAAGTAGTCATGCTTCATCAAAAATAAAAAGTTATGCTTGAAAATAACTAGAAGACATCCGGGTCTATGTATATGTCCTCTATACATTATCTTTAAAATTTATGTAAGTGAACTTAACATTGACCTATGCTAACTTCTATTATTTGCCATTTACCCAGCACCTAAATCTAGATTACATGTTATTTTTATTGAATTTGTTCTCTAGGGTCAAAGCTACTTGCAGCCAGAAGGAACAATGCAACATTAATATAGCAATGATGATATGCAACAAAACAGAATAACAGCACCCTGAAGATCAATTACCGTATATGCCGGTGTATTAGGCGACCCGGCGTATAAGACGACCCCCGAGTTCGACGCCGGGTCGCAAGACGATCGACGCCGAGTCGCATATAAGACGACTTTCTAGGCATGCGACTCGGCATCGATCATCTTATACGCCGGAAATGACGTCATTTCCAGCGTATAAGATGACTTTCTAGGCATGCGACTCAGTGCGATCATCTTATTACGCCGGAAATAACGTCATCGGGTATAAGAATGATCGACACAGAGTAGCATGCATAGAAAGTCATCTTATACGCCGGAATAAATGTAAGTTATAACGTCTATTCGGAGATATAAGATGACTTCTAGGCATGCGACGGTGCGATCATCTTATACGCAGGAAAGACGTCATTCCGGAGTATAAGATGATCGACACGAGTCGCAGCCTAGAACATCATCTTATACGCCGGAAATAATAAATAAATAAATAAACGTTATGACTCGGCGTATAAGACGACCCCCGAGTTCGGAGGCTGTTTCATCGCTCTCAAAAGTCGTCTTATACGCCGGAATATACGGTATAATAACCAATTCACGGCAGGATGATCCCTTTAATAATCAATCTATCACCACCCTTTCAGGAAAATATTAACAGTTTGTGAAAAAACAATGAAATGGGACCAAATCTAATCTTGAGAAGAACGCTGTTCCCAAGGAGGAGGACAGCAACTGAGAAGACTCGATCTTAAGGTCCCTAAAGATGGCATTCCTTAAGAGAAAGGACCTGAAAAGACTTCACCCTTTCCAATTTTAATGAGTGGACAGAAGCCACTGGCTGAAGACAATCCATAGATATCCAAGTCCTAAGCCATCTAGCCATGTTCATATTTTATAAAAATGAGCCCCCAAATTCCTCCTGACTCCTGGATTACAATATTCTACACATACCTTCCATGTCACAAAGATAAGGAAGAGCTAATTATCAGAAAAAGTAATTAACTGAAAAGTTCCGCATTTGAGAAATATGAGGAATTTCATTTGAACCTCAACTCAGCACTTTCTGGGATTATCAGAATGTACATTTTCAAAACAGGAGTATCCATTAACCACATATAGCTAGATGATGATGATGATGATAATAATAATAATAATAATAATAATAATAATAATAATAATAATAATAGTAGTAGTGTAGTAATAATAATAATAATAATAATAATAATAATAATAGTAGTAGTGTAGTAGTAGTAGTAGTAGTAGTAAAGTTGGAAGGGACCTTGGAGGTCATCTAGTCCAACCCCCTGCTCAGGCAGGAAACTCTATTCCACCCCCCTGCTCAGACAGGAAACCCTATACCATTTCGGACAAATGGCTGTCCAGTCTCTTCTTAAAAACTTCCAGTGTTGGAGCATTCACCACTTCTGGAGGCACGTTGTTCCACTGGTTAATTGTTCTAACTGCCAGGAAGTTTCTCCTTAGTTCTAGTTTGCTTCTCTCTGCTTCTCTCCTTGATTAGTTTCCACCTGTTGCTTCTTGTCCTGCCTTCAGGCACCTTGGAAAATAGCTTTACTCCCTCTCCTTTGTGGCAGCCCCTGAGATATTGGAACACTGCTATCATGTCCCCCCTCGTTCTTCTCTTCATTAAACTATACATACTCAATTCCAGCAGCCGTTCCTTATATGCTTTAGCCTCCAGTCCCCTATTCATCTTTGTTGCTCTTCTCTGCACTCTTTCTAGAGTCTCAGCATCTTTTTTACATTGTGGTGACCAAAACTGGATGCAGTATTCCAAGTGTGGTCTTACCAAGGCATTGTAAAAACACTTCACATGATCTTGATTCTATCCCTCTGTTAATGCAGCCTAGCACTGTGTTGGCCTTTTTGGCAGCTGCAGCACACTGCTGGCTCATATTTAGGTGATTGTCCACTAGGACTCCGAGGTCCCTCTCACAAATGAATGTGAGGTCCCTCTCACATATGGATGAGCCTGACAGAATTGGCCTCTAGAAAAAGTTTTTTAAACTACTGTATTTGTTAGCTTCTGATCCAGTTATATCTTGCCAACATTTCTGGTTTTTGTTTGGGCAAAATATATACCTTAGAGTTTATACATGAGGCAAGAATCATGCAGAATAGGAAACTGGCTCCAAATTAAAATAGAGACAATACACAAAAATGAGTTTTGTCCACAGTTTGAGAACTTTTCTTGTGAAAGGACACTCTGCTTATTAACCAAAAGGCATAAAAAGAAGAGAGATATCGCTACACTTATTTTGTAACAACCCCACACTTGCTGTTCAGGAACTTTCAAATGATCTATAGTCCATTCTTCCTTCAGGCAGCCCCCATTCCCCAGCTGCCTCTTTCTGGATGAAAGCAACACAGTAGAGTGAACTTAATTGCTAGAGTCATCAGAAAACATCCAAAACATTGGATTAGCCAACAACAGTCACTTAAACTCAATCTCATCCATCTTTCTGTTCAATAGATCCCAGTACAGAACAGGAAAGGGGCAGAGTGTGAGAAGATTACTGTAAAATTACTGTTAAAAAACTCGCAATAAAATGTGTAACTGTGGGACTGAATCAAATGAGAGTCAACTATAATACAAGATGAAGAATCATTGCCAGCCATAGACAGGACATTTGAGATCATTTAGCAGAAAAGGCAATTTAATTCAATTTTTCTCCTCTCATTCCCCTCCTGGTCCCATTTCTTTCATCTGTGTCCTTTTGCCCAGCTCATTCATTCTAGTAGAGATGCATTTTGCAGTCTAAAAACAGAACTTGGGATTTCTAAAAGACATCCAATGGTTCTGTTCCAGCCACACATTGCCTTCAGCTGATATTACCTGATATCGGCTCATTCTTTCCTGCTTGAGTTGCTCAAATTTACGCTTCAGTTCATTTTGTCGTTCAATCCTCTTTTGGGCTCTGCCAACAAATATTGTTCGGTCATTGATCTTGCTTCCATCCATGTGCTCAACAGCCTGCGGTGAGAAGAGGTGACAGGCAAGGCTGTACACTTATTTCACAGGAAATCACCTCCTACTTTATCATTTCATTATAGGTAGTCCTTGACCTATAGCCACAACTAGTATCAGAATTTCCATTAATAAGCAAGGCAGCTTGTTAAGTGAGTTGTGCATCATTTTACAACTTTTGTCATGGTTGTTAAGCAAATCACTGCAGCTGTTAAATGAATCATGCAGTTGCTGAGTGAACCTTGCTTCTCCCATTGATCTTATTTGTCAGAAGCCCTTGAGAAAATCTCAAATGACAATTCTATGATCTTCGGACACTGCAACTATCCTAAAACTTGCCAATTGCCAAGCGCCCAAATTTTGATCATGTCACCACAGAGATGCTGCAACAGTCATAAATGTGAGGACCAGTTGTAAGTTACTTTTTTTTCAGTGCTGTTGTAACTCCAAACAGTCACTAAATGAAATGCTCTAAGTCACGTACTAATTGGATTTATTATTTTAATTAAGTCCTGCTTTGAACTAGCCAAAGAATGAAATGCTATCCTGCCACAGCCCGAGGAAATAATTGGATAACTAGTTCAGCCTATGACAAGATATTAGCTTTAAAAAAAACCTCTTAAATTTTTGTTATATTCCTCAAAACTTTCCTCCCACCATTACTCTTTAACAGAGAAAGGAAGACTGAGAACGAAGATCAACTTGCCTTCCGAGCATCTTGATGCTTCTCAAAATTGACAAAACCAAATCCTTTTGAGCGGCCTGTATTATCTATCATGACCTTGACACTCAAGGTCTTTCCTGGAAGTAGAACAAAAACTTTTAGGCTAATACTACAGAAATGAAGTTTTCATTGAGTGTTGAGCCACAGGATGCTCAGCTCCACTCATGGATAGTGATGGATACATGCCAATAAGTACCACATTTTATAAGTACCATATTACATTTAAACCTGTGGCTCACAGAAGAATTTTACTTCAGGAAGGTATTTTTCATGTCTTTAAATTCTGCATTAGGAAATTCAAATTTGTTTCATGGCAGTTTGAGTGACCTAGAGTTGCTTAAATCAGACGGTTATCTATACAAATCAAGTTATTATTCTCTAAATATTAGGAATCCTTTTCATTTTATATATCTTACAATGACGTCTTCCTGTTACCAAGTGCATCCACTTGGTAGATAGCTTAAGACAAATGGTCAGGTGTTCTGCATATAATTATAGAGAAGGAATTTCTAACTCTGATATTAAAAAGAGAAACCATTTTTAAACTAGCTTTCATGTAAAAATATAGCTAGCCATAATTTTATACCCTCCAGATATAATGGTTATCAGTTTTCATTCCCTAGGGAAAATAGACAAATTCAAAAGGATTAGGGGAGTTGATGAGCACTGCATCTGAACAGCAACAGATGGGGAAAGCTTTCCAAAATATATCCTTAAAACAGATGCAAAATTGTTGTACCCTTATAGCTTAGATAACGGATGTCAAACTCGCCACGTCACGTGATGTGTTGCGATGTATCACAACTTTTTTTGCATTGCTGAAGCTGGGGTGGACGCGGCTTCCGCTTGATGCAACTGGCTTAGATTATGATTTCAAATTCTTATTTCACAATGGAATGTTTTTATCTATTTGGAAGTAGGTTAGATCACATTACTGGCTGTATCTTTTGCACAAAAAAATCTGGAGCAGCATTCTAAGCCACAGTGGCACAGTGGTTAGAATGCAGTATTGCAAGCTAACTCTGCCGACCGCCAGCAGTTTGATCCTGACCAACTCAAGGTTGACTCAGCCTTCCATCCTTCCAAAGTCGGTAAAATAAGAAGCCAAACTGTTGGGGGGGGGGATATGCTGACATAGTAAACTGCTCAAAGAGTGCTGTAAAGCACCGTGAAGCAGTATATAAGTCTAACTGCTATAGCTATTTTGCTAAGCTGCTAAACTTATGCTCACAACCCTTATTTTATAAGCAACACTTTTAAGTGCCACCCTTACCAAATTTTGAGAATATTTCTTGCAGCCTCTCATCAGTCATGTCCTCTCCAAAGTTTTTGATGTAGACATTAGTAAATTCCATTGCTTTGGCTCCATATTCTGCTTCACGCTCTCGGCGGGACTTAAAGTGGCCAACAAATCTGCAAGGTCAAGATAGGAGATATGAAACCATCTCCTAAAAGGGTATTGCAAGGGCAGAATCCTTAAGGTGGCTGAGGAATTCTGGGAACTGAAGTCACAAGTCTTAAAGTTGTCAAGATTGCAGACCCGTTTTAATACACTTTGAATTGAAATCTGAGGGCAACTTGTTCAGAGAATCTAGGGGCCACATCCAGGGGTTTGGGGACTACCTATTGCCTTGGGCTATTTCTGATCTAAAAGGTCAAACCTGAAAGTAAGCTCCCAGGCAAAATACTACAGCAGCCACCCCAGAATATAGAAAACGCCTCATGCCAATTGATGTATTTGGCCTGGTAAACCTAACTGATTTCACTCTGTTGACCCTGACTAATAATTGATCTACTAAGTTTCAAAGATTCAAACAGGAGATCCTAGACCTGAACCTGGATCTTATTACATTTACCACCAACACATGACTGTTTCTTTAAACTATACTAGAATTGCAGGTTATTCCCATTGTAAAAAATACACTGAAAAAAATTTATTGCACCATTGGCTCAGGCTTCAACTTACACCTTGCTATCATTTAGCAGCATTCCATTCATTGTATCAATTGCTCTGTTTGCTGCCTCGTGAGTCTCAAAATGGACGAAGCCGTAGCCCCTAGATCCATTCTCATCACAAACAACCTGTCAAGATATTTAAGAGAAGGATGACAGAAAGGAAATGAAGCAAATCAAAACTTGGAACGGATAACCAATCCATTGCTTGCCTTTTATATTCCTAGTTCTCTATTACAAGATCTAAGAATAATAACTATCACCTACTTAACCTGAAGCCATCTAAGAATGTTGGGTTTAGGCCCCATAATCTCCAACTAATCTGTACTGTTGATGCTGGATGGAGATTACATGGCTACTGAATGGAAACATATTTGGAGAGATATCAGTTTATACGGTTCTAGAGTTCCCAATTCCAGGGAGAAGAGGAAACAATATGTTGAATCTAATCTAATTCTGTTCCTCAGAATCAGCTGCTCTTCTGGAGCCATTCTAGTAATTTTAACAGCTGAGAAACATCATCTCTTGTCCCATCCTGAAAAGATGCTGGGAGAAAGAGGGGAAATGGTCCAGAATCTAGATGCTTTGCCCAAGGGCAAAATAATTGAAAGTCTCATTAAATTGAAAACCATTAAACAATAACAGCCTGAACATTGGTAAGAAAAAGTGACACACGAATATATTTCAGACTTCAGAAGAAAATGCAACATTCATCATACAAAAAAAATAAGAGAACTATATTGATTGCACCTACTTTGCAAGAAAGAATATTTCCAAAAGCTGAGAATGTATCATATAAGGCTTTGTTATCAATGGAATCATCCAGATTCTTGATGAAAATATTCCCAACACCTGATTTCCTGAGTCCGGGATCTCGCTGGGACCACATGATACGAATGGGCCGACCTTTTATGACTTCAAAATTCATGGTGTCCAAGGCCCGTTCAGCTTGAAGAAGGAAAAATAAAAGCACATTCATTTACCAACAAATCAAACACAAACTTGGGAAATACAAATTGCAATGCATCTAACATCTAACTTTTCAAATAGTTCGAAATTACCAACACAGATTATCTCCAAGTCTTGAAAACAAGAGACAGAATATGGGTTTAAGAAATCACGAGTTTTCATGGAGTTGTAACTCAGTAACATGTGATATATCCTTCTGTAGCATATTCATTGCATTTCTTCTTTATCAAAATGTTTTTTTTTCTGATGAAAAGTTTAAATTGTTTATGTTCAGTTTGATGTTTCAGACATTAATTTACTGGGAAACAAGGGCCTTGTCAGAAATTATGAATTCAGAGTGATTTTGACAGTTACATTTTAACCATTGTTGATGTCTGACACCATTAATAAAATCCATAAAGACAACTTTGGGCATTAAAAAATAACATTTGCATTTGCAGATTATGAGTAGAAGAGATAGTCCTTGTTTCAGCACTTGCTTTCTCAAGACAATATTATTTTTTATCATTTTTTTAAAATTCAAAGCAAAATAGATCAACAAGTGGCATTTCGGTTACTAACAGAAGAGCACAGACTGCCATTAAGAGCTGGAGAAATGAAAATATCACATTTTAAAAATGGAAAAGAAAGTTTGAGTGTTAATAAGAGTTAAAGTTAAAAAAGATCACTGTCGATTTCAGAAAAGGCAGGCATAGCCACACTTCTCTGTGCATTAATGATTCACCTGGAGATGGTTACCAGCATCAAATTCCTGGGTGTGCAGTTAACAAGTAGGCTGGCTTGGTCACTCAACAGCGAGACACTGGTGAAGGGGCACAGCAATGTCTGCAGTTTCTGCGTCGCATGAGAAAAGCTCATCTTTCTTCCTCTATCCTTACACTTTCTACAGAGGGATGATCAAGAGCATCCTGTCACACAGCATCACAGTCTGGTTTAGAAGTATCACTGCTTCAGACAGGAAGGCTGTGCGGAGAGAAGTGAGGATGGCTGAAAAGATCATTGGCAGATCCCTCCCTTCTATCCAGGACATAGCACGTAAGTGTTGCTTGAGCAGGGTCCGCAAGATTGTCTGGGAGACTACACATCCTCTTCACGACCTGTTTTCCTTGTTACCTTCTGGGAGGAGGCTCCGTGATATCCGAAGCAGAACATCCAGATTCCATCACAGCTTTGTTCCATACAGTATTAACCTTGTGAACTCTAAAGCTTCCTCCTTTTGTTATGTATTCAAGATGGACAGTGATTAATATTTATATGTTACTTATATGTAAGGGTATAGGTCTATACATATGTTGTATATAGTATGTTTAAATGTGTGTTATGTATGTGTACACTTTGAGAGCAAGCAACTAAATTTCATTTTTAATGTGTACCATTGTGCCCACAGTAAAAAATGACAATAAAGTCTATCTATCTATCTATCTATCTATCTATCTATCTATCTATCTATCTATCTATCTATCTATCTATCTATCTAATACAATTATGAGAAATAAGAAATATTTACATAATGCATATATGAAACATTAGTTCAAAGTTATTATCCCTGAAAAAGATATTACATTCCTCCTCCATCTGAAAAAGGAAAATAAAACTGAAGAGGAAACTATATCCTCTCAGAAAATCTAAAGCTTTTAAAGATAAACCACTTGGGGAAAAACAGTAAAATAAAGTGCATTTTAGTATGTATTGCATTTTTGTACAATATCAATATTAAACCAAGCAAAGAAAGTTCTTACCATCAGCAGGCTGTTGATAATTTATGTAAGCATAACCTAGAGATCGTCGTGTGGCAACGTCTCGACAAACTCTGATGGACATGATGGTCCCAGCAGGTGAAAACTTCTCGAACAACATGGCTTCAGTAACATCTGGATGCAGGTCACCCACATAGAGAGAGGCTAGAGGATATCCTGGGCCACTAGCATTCATGGCCAATCATCTAGTTTAACTTTGGAAGTGAAGCAGAACCTAATTACTACTAAGTTGCATGATGTAGACTTTTGAGAGACAAAAACAACATGGTGTTGGAATAGCTACGATAGCACTCCATGTAACATCTCTATGTTACAGCAGTGCAATGAAGAAATTTGCATGGTATCAGGGGAAAAATATTAAGACTGGACTACATTCCAATATATAATTGGAAGCAAAGTATATATAAGCTCTCCACACTCAAGTCTACTTAAACTAGAATCCAATCATTTTTCAATAATTCCCATTATACTGCAATAAGACTAGGAGGAGGAATAATGGAATTCCCTGTATGCAGAAAACAAATGCTAGATGAAGAATTCTGGGAACTGAAGTCTGCAAATCATAACGTTTCTGAGGTTGAGAAAAATTGCAGTAAAATTGCTTGGTACTTTTTTGGAAACTGTTTTATCTTTTTATCTTCTTAGTGAAGTATAATGGACTGAGGTTATACTAAGCTCATTATACTTCATGATAAGCTATTATCCCAAGACTGCTAAACTGAAGTATCCCAAGGTTGATAATTTTTATGGCCAAGCAATTTTCAAAGCCAGATAATGTTATTCAAAATCCAACACTATTCTCAGAAGAAGTCATTGGTAAAATGATTTTATACTGGAAGAAGAAAGTCAGTCTTTTTCAAACTGAGTTCTAAACACTTTTGTGTCTTACAATTGCTTCCCACACTTCTGCATATGCATATATGGGAGAAATAACATATGAAGCATCTTATATAAACTTTGACAGTACACAGAGTCATAAGACTAGGACTCTGGTGAAGTTTCACTTTCTCTACAGGATATTCACTCCTAATCTCAAGTTTAATGTTCTGAAAGAGGAGGTTTAACTTCTTTCTCATATTTTCTTCTCTGTAGGATCCATTTTAGCTTACTCTACTTAACACAAACAATTATTCTATTGATGGTTCATTTGCAAAAAAAATCATTATGTAGATAAAACCTACTCTTACATATCTTCTCTTGTTCTTCTAAAGAAGGAAGATAAGAAACTAGACACTCATATTGCTTAATTCTCACTGAAGACTTTTTTCTGTGGTGTTATATAGTACAAATGGTGAAGAGTTTTTAAGGGAAACATTGGCCAAAGTACTAATGCCATGCTTCTTTAATTAGAGGATTCAATGCAATACCAGTTATTTCCCTAATTGTTCAAAACTACATCAAAAGAGAGCTACAAAAGTATTTAATCTTCCTAGGAAAATTATAAGAGCACCCTGATTCTGGACTCTGTAAAAATGATTTTAGGTTTTTTTAAAAAAACTCTCATTATCAATAGATAAACTAATATTTACATTGCCAATAATTCTTAATCATCTCTCCTTTATAATTTTCATTAATAACCTTCAAATGGTCAGGTTAAGTTGAAACTAGTAAAGTATCTGGAGGAAGCCAGGTTGTGGAAAGTTGGAAAAATGTTTTGATTTGATGTAAAACTATTTTTAAAATGGCCACTATTTCTAGGTAATTAATTCAGAAGGAACTCAACAAACTTTTTTTTAAAATGGTTGTTTGTTTCAGTTTATCCCCTATACAATTATAGCAGTTATATTAATATCATATATTAGTCTTTCTCAATCTGATATTCTTAGTCCCACAAATCTCAATCCAATATAGCCAAAAGAGATAACAGACAATTTGGGAATTGTAACTTCAGCATAGTTGGAAGGAATGAGTTTGAAAAAAGCCTCCGCCAATCACATCCTTCCCATTATGGCTCAGAAAGACTGGGAAGGGAGGTGGCATAGCCCTTTTAATTATTTCTGCATTTAGAATTATTTCAATTTCAAAGACATAGAGATCAGGTACTTTGCTGCTGGCATCATTACCTAAGAAAAGCACATACATGTTTCAGTAGATGAAACCACAACCATTTTTCAATAATGAACATAAATAAAAGAAAGCAAATATGTGCCTTAGGATCGATGTTTACTCCTTACCTTACCTCTAATCAAGTTCTATGTCCTTCCTGCCCCTAAAACATAACTTCAATACCTCACTTAGCCTGAATAATAAGATGGTTGAGCCAAAGTCACACAGCTGAATTGTGCAGCTGAGGGGACACATTAAGCACCTGTGTAGGCACAACACACTGGATTACATATCAGCCTATCACATTTTAGGACAGCTTGTTGCTTAAACCCAACCTATGCAGTTAGAGCATATGGTTCTTAGGTTATGTGTAGCCAAAAAGTAGCTTAGTTGAATAAACCATGGTTAACTTAATTACATATAAGCATTTTATACAAGCTCAACTACTGGCTGCAGGGCAGTCATAAGAAACCAGTCCATTGCAGGACAGAAGGGCTCCAGTGGATTTGGTCTATTCAGTACAATATACCTTTGAGTTTAAAAATACCACTGTTCACTTGCCTATAGTACCTCTGTCCAATTTACCTCTGAAAATTAGTTTCCCCTTCTAACAACATGGATTGATGTTTGAGTGAGTGTGCTGGGGCTCAAATTCCTGAATCCACACCCCTCTCCATCAAGCACTCACTTACAGCTATGGAAAACCACCAACAAAAAGCTCTCCTCTGGCACAGGTGCTCTCTAATGTGGATAAGGTATTCAGAATCCCATAGCCCCACCCCTTCCACTCACAGAGCAGCAGGTGTGACCATCAGACAGTTCCTGTTCCCAACATTTTGACCAAGCTGCTACTTCTCTCCAATGAATCTTACAGGAGCAGAGCAAAAGCCTGTTCTTCTCAGCAGCAGAGAGATGAAGAAAAAAAAAGGGCCTTATGGCAAGATTCTAGCTTAATGTCTTCTTACAAGAAGCTTCAACACCTACATTTTTATCTGTGGTTTAAGTCAATGGCTTAAGTAATGAGCTATTAACGTCTGAGTACAGGTAGTCCTCATCTTACGGTCACAACTGAGCCAAACATTTTTGTCACTAAGTAAGATATTGGTTAAGGGAATTTTGCCCCATGTTATGACTTTTCTTGCCACAGTTGTTAAGGGAATCACTGCAGGTGTTAAATTAGTAACACGGTTGTTAAATTAATCTAGCTTTCCTGTTGATTTTGCTTGTCAGGTCGCAAAAGGGGTTCACATGACCCCTGCAAAGGTCATAAATGTGAATCAGTTGCCAAGCATCTCAATTTTGATCACATGACAATGGGCATGCTGCAACAGTCATAAGTATGAAAAATGGGTCATACGTCACTTTTTTCAATGCTGTTGTAACTTCACTAAATAAACTGTTGTAAGTCGAGAACTATCAGTATACTTCTTGAGATCATACAATGTTCTAAGAAAGGTGTTCAGGAATGGGGATTGTCACAAAATGTCACAATAGCAATGGTGACTGAGCATTTAAAGCCATGTTTTCTTTTATGTGCATGCATGTACCATGTGCATAAAAAAAAAAGCAGGGGTTTGGTGGTAAGAGTTTCTGGAATTTCTTGATCTGGAGTTTCTTGATACTCCACCAAGGATGTTCTTAGCCTTGGGGTTAAGGAATTGTAGCAGGACCTCAGAAATTCAAGATCAAGTTCCTTTTCAACCACAGAAACTCATTGGGTGATTTGAGGTACTTGTTCTCACTGAGACCACTTTATCTCACAGTAGGGCTTTGTTAAGAGGAGGAAATGCTCTTTGCTACTTTGAACCCAAGGGAAAAGGCAGGGTATATGCCTAACAATCCATATTTTTGTCTGATATGTTAAATTCCATCCTTTTGGTTAGCTTATAGTTCAGTCTATCATGAAAACTGTTCTCAAGCATATTGTTTTGACTACAGCCAATGTTGTTTATGACAACACTGAAATTTTTAAAATTCTGGTATTCCTATATTTTAAGAATAAGAGAGGACAGAAAAATACCAGATCCAAGCATGGTAGCAAAGGGTGGGGAGTGAGGGAAAAGGAAAGCAGTCGCAGTCATGTGATTTCCACTTAGTGATTTAACACAGAACTGCATGTCCCAGCTGTGGTTGCTAAAGGAGCATCTATATATTTCTTGCCTCTCTAGTTGATATTGCAATAGATGTAGTATCTTCAACATACTAGTGTTTTCAGCAAAAATAAATCATTCTTCATATACTGTATATATGATATGCAGATTGTTTGTTATAGGAAGATCAAGCAATTTTTTCCAACTTACGGTTCTAAAATGTAAAACGCCAACATCCTAGGAGGATAGAACCTCAGTCTTGCTAAAGAAACTCAAAGAAAATCTTGCAAGCACTAACATGTGGAAAATGGGATGGGATGACACCTACATCATGACATAAATGAAGTGATTTTGATACTTTGCATTGGATATCATTACACAGATATGCCATCATGACCTTATTGTGGCTTGCTAGGAGACCAATGCTTGGGATGTGTGGCATATCTTCCAAAATGTGATCACTGATGAATCTGAATGAAATGTAATAGTAGCATAGTTCATTCATTGCTAAGGTTTATCTTAGAGACTTATCTAAAGACACTTAATCACTATATAGGCTAGAAACTATGCAATAGTATGTACCACTACATACTACATCACAAGAATATCCCCCATGAATAAAACTAATTTCACTGGGATTCACATTGGCCCAGTTTTTATTGCTGTTTTCAAAAATATTAGTATTGCAGTCAGACAGTCTGAAAGAGCTGTCAAAATTTGCTTCTGCTTTGCCTCAACAACTTAAACCAAAAGGAACATGCCACCATGGACCACTTTGAAATTGCTTTTGGGAGTCGTAGACCAGCCTGAAAATCCATTCGAGAATCTTTGTACTTCTGAGTCCATTATAAAATATAAAACCTTGTCTTTTGTAATAAATGTACCGGTAGCTTTTGAGCAAATGAGTTCATACTTAATTTCCGAAAGAATCTGGGGACCAATTTACTTTGAAATATAAAAAGAATCTAAAAATATACCAAAATATTTCTTTTTGCATTTACAGGAAATGCAAAACTATAGATGGAAAGAAATCTATGTGAAGTAGATTTCTAAATGAAAGTGCCACAGAACATATGTGTGTATAGAAACATTGAGCTAATTCCTGTAAAGAGAATTATTCTCTTATCTGGATTGCTGCAGTATATGGGGTCACTTCAGACCTACCCACCCAAATTAGTGTACCATAGCCCATTCCTCTATTTGTGAATGTCAATTCAGTTCATAGATGTCACCCATTATTTGTAAAAAAAAAAAAAAAAAAAACCCAAATCTGTTCTGAAACTAAAGTAACCACTTTGGTGTCAGGAATTGTCAGAACAACCAAAAAAAAAAAAACCCAACAAATCTGTTCTGAAACTAAAGTAACCACTTTGGTGTCAGGAATTGTCAGAACAACTGTAACTCCAGAGAAACACATTTTTTCCTCATGGTCACACAACAATCTCTGTCCTCAGGCTGTTGCCACCTAAATTCTACAAAATGTGAAGACTGGCTTTAAGATACTTTATTCCAAGAGGCTTGAGAAATATTTCTAGTTGTGTCCAGATTAAAACAAGTACTCAAAGTAAATATTCCATTTTATTAGTTCCAATATTTATATCAAAGGGCAATTTGTTCTGAAACGAAGTTTTACAAGATTAACTTTTCTGATTATGATGCAGTTTGCTTTTTAACTCCTTTTAAAAAATGTAGACTATAATGTACCTTATTTTTATACCCTTTATGAAGTACTGGTGATGTTTCCAGGAAAATTGGACAGTATAGTATAAGCTATCATGTTATAAAGTACAATTTTATTCCATGTAGAAAACCAAATTTCAGTATTTTGCTCACAAAGAAATAGTAATAAGTTTAAATCATTTTAGACCAACAGAAAAATCAGTTCATAGACATCACCGATACAATTAATTACATCAATTGCATAATCTAATACAATCATATTGTTAGGGTCCCAAAATAACAGCCATTCCATCATATTGAATGTAGCCATAATTTTATGAAATGATTGTGATAACATAAAAAAAGAGAAACTACAAACTGATAAATTTTTTTATTTTTAAATCGTTTTACACTTTCCTGATTGTGTAGGGTGAAACTAGAACTGTTTGAAAGACATACACAAATCTAGTACATCGATAACCAGGTATTTCTTTTTGCTATACTATTCTCACAACCACATGTGTGCTAGTTAATACAACCATCACAGAAGCAAACTTTAGGCAAAATACTGGTCAGTAGAAACAATGCAAAAAGAGCTACCAGATATACAGACAGGCTCGGTTCCACATTCACTACTGCATTTATCAAGCGCCAAGAAAAACTGCACAATTTGTTCAGCTAGTAGAGGGGAATTTTGAAGTCAGTGCATGAATTTTTTTTTCAGCGAACAGTTGAACAGACAGATGGACTCTATAAGCCAAGTGGAATGTCACAAGCAGAGAAACGATATTGAAAAGACTAATAAGAAAAATAGTCTAATCTTTCACTGCATTATTCATGCAACTACTACTGAATTCCAATCTTTGCCTGGACAAATTTATAATTAAACATTATGATCTCTATTTCTAAGGAAGTTAAGGAAAAGGTTATATATGAGCCTGTTATTTGTTTTGGACCAGGAGTGGCAAAAACTATAGCAGCAATAGGCCATCTGCATCTAAGCGAGACCTGTCCTCCAGCATATTTCACTTTTTACCATTACCAGAAATAAATCCCAATTACAGTGAGTTTCTAATTTAAATTACATCAGGAGAGACACAACTTGTACCAAGAACTCAGATATTTAAAGATACAGTTTTTTTCCTGGAAGGAATTAATGTTCAACTTTTTTAAACTGAAAAAACATTATTTCATGCAATTATTCTACAGCTAATAAAGCCATAAAAGTAGAATCCAAATTTCATGTTAATCCACTAGTCTACAAGGTAAATGTATAACGTATTACTGACTAAAATGATGTTGCCAGTGGCAAGAGCAGTGGACTATCTGCCCAGAGGCAAGGCCACAATTTTCTGCCACCATTATTTGCTAAGTTAGATTTTCATTTCCCCTTGGCTTTAAATGAAATTTAAGAAAAAAAATTAAAATTAAATGAGCATTTGGCTAAAAAGCAGTGGGTCCAGCATCATCATTATCATTATTTTTTAAAAAAGAAATGTCAGAATGAACATGTCTATTCAATTCACAGAAGTGAGCTTCTGAACTGGAATACCACACAGTAGATTGTTGCCCTTCCATGTTGCAGTATCACAATATAATCTCTATAATTTTCTATACAACTTTACAGCAGAATTGTACTTCAGCAACTTTGATACCAGATTATTATCCTTCCAAGGAATCACATGATTTGTATCTATTCTTTCATCATTTGAGTTTTGTAAAGTCAACTGCAATCGCAAAACCCTTAATCACAGTGTTCAGTTAAAAAAATATAAACACGGTAATCATAACTGCAAGTGTTCATAATAGGAAAGGTTCAGAATGCCATTGTTCAACTGATTTCCATTTGACATACACAGAACACCAACCAATTTTTTTTTACCCCACAGACAGTTTGCTACGTTGAGGTTGTGAAGTCGATGTACTATTCTTTTTGCTTGCCGCACAAAGGAATATAATGTGTAGGATACAGTGACATTGAACACATAGTGAAGCATGACAGACTTAGTTTTCGCCTTCTCCAGCTTCCCCTTCATCTCCCTGGTTTTCCGATGTCCATAGCTGCAACAATATACAAGGATGTTTATGTTAAAAGCCTGCAATTAATTTCACTGGTCTAAAAAGTTGATTACTGGGATATCTATTTTCTATTGACTGGGCTTCAGCATAGCACTGAAGAGAAACAGTTAACAAAGAATTAAAGACTAGAGAATATATGCAGGTAAAGAAATGTTTTCTAATATATAAAGTCTATCAATAGAAAAAGATATATTAGCAGATTGGAAAAAGCATTTACTAAGTTTTATAATATAGATATGTTTGCTGTATAAACTTTATGTTATCCCTTACAGCAGGGGTCCCCAACCCCCGGTCCGCACAAGTGGTGGGTGAGTGTGTGAAGCCACATTTGCACAAGTGGCATGCATGAAACTATCCCCTCTCTCTCCCTGCAGTTGCTGGCGGTCCACAGAGGAAAAAAGGGTTGAGGACTGCTGCCTTATAATATTTCCAAAGATAACATTTTCCACAGGACTCCAATTACCTATAAATAATAAGTAACTGCATATTTAGAAACAGTGTTAAAGATATGAAGTTCCATAGAAGTTAACTTCCATAGCCACTTTCCCCAAAGATACTTACAGTAAGATTATCTCTAAGTAGCTGCATAATCAGGGTGCTATCCTTGTAAGATTCTTCATTCAGTGTGTCCAGTTCAGCTATTGCTTCATCAAATGCCTAAAACAAACTCAAGTATTATTTGACTTGTTTTTTCTGCCATTTCCAAACAAGAAACATGATTTAAAGTTTAATTAGAGTTAGCTAAATGGGAAATGGTACTTACAAGGTTGAAATTGAGCTCTGGAGAACAGCTGGGTTTATTGTTGCTACAAGGCTTTTCTGCTCCACCTCCCTGCCTAAGCTGTTGAACTTCATTGTGGAGTTGGTAATGGTGGACCTAAGATGTTGCTTTGGCGTGACAGTTAGGTGCAGCTTAAGAATTAGTTCAAGGCCAATGTTGAGGTTGTTCTCCTTTCTCCATGGCCAGTTCTAGTCAATGTTGATAGGTGAGGAGAGCCAGCTCAAAGACCTTGATTTCAGGATGCTTCAGAGCTGGACATTCTTCCTATCCTGTTTAACATCTACATCAGGGGTGTCAAACTGGCGGCCTGTGGGCTAGATGCAGGCCATGCCCCCTAGCTCAGCAAAGGCAAAAAAGATCGCGATACATCACATGAGGCGATTGAGTTTGACACCCGTGATGTACACGAAACTACTGGGTGAGGTTATCCATAGCTTTACCTAGGATTGATCAGTGATGCTGGAGGCTGTATGGATATGGATGAAGAGGAATAGGTTTAAACTCAGCTGAATGGCTATGGGTATATGGATTCTGCATTGTTTGTTCTGACTAGTATAGCACTTCTCTAACAGAACCAGTTTGTTATTTATAAATCCCTTCTGGACTCCCAGCTCCTACTTGAAGAGCAGGTGGTAGCTGTGATGAGGAAGGCCTGCACAGATTCATCTGGTATACCAAATGTACCCTTTCTTGGAGGAATCTCCCCCCTTATAATCATTCATGTATGGATTATAATTTGATCTGCATTTTAATGAGTGAAATAAGTATTTAATCCCTTATCAATAAGCAAGATTTTTGACTCCTAGGTGTCCTTTATACAGGTAATGAGTTGAGATTAGGAGCACTCTCTTAAAGGGAGTGCTCCTAATCTCATCTTGTTACCTGTATAAAAGACACCTGTCCACAGAAGCAATCAATCAGATTCCAAACTCTCCACTATGGCCAAGACCAAAGAGCTGTCCAAGGATGTCAGGGACAAGATTGTAAACCCACATAAGGCTAGAATGGGGCACAAGACTATTGCCAAGCAGCTTGGTGAGAAGGTGACCACAGATGGTGCAATTATTCACAAATAGAAGAAACAAAATAACTGTCAATCTCCCTCAGTCTACGGCTCCATAGAACAGTGGTTCTCAACCTTTTTAATGCCGCGACCCCCAACCGATCGTAAGTCAAAGACTACTCAACCGGTCGTAAGTCGAGGACTACTCAACTGGTGCAGCACCGTTTGCAGAATGGGACTTTTAGCGGGCTCAGCAGGGCAGAGACAGCTTGGACAATTCCTATTGGCTTTTGAAAGCCAATAGAATTAGATTCTATTCAAGAAAGTCTATTCTATTGGCTTTCAAAAGCCAATAGAATAAAAGGGAGTAGCACAGCTAAGGAAAAGGGGAAAAAATGGGGGACTGCATTGTTTGGCGACCCCCGTGAAATGGTCGTTTGACCCCAAATGGGGTCCCGACCCACAGGTTGAGAACCACTGCCATAGAAGATCTTACCTCATGGAGTTTCAACGATCATGAGAATGGTGAGGAACCAGCCCAGAACTACAGGGAGGATCTTGTCACCTGGGACCATAGTCACCAAGAAAATAATTGGTAACACACTACGCCATGAAGGACTGAAATCCTGCAGTGCCCACAAGGTCCCCCTGCTCAAGAAAGCACATGTATAGGCCCATCTGATGAACATCTGAATGATTCGGAGCAGAACTGGCTGAAAGTGTTGTGGTCAGCTGAGACCAAAATCGAGTTCTTTGGCATCAACTCAACTCACCGTGTTTGGAGGAGGAATACTGCCTATGACTCCAAGAACACCATCCCCACTGTCAAGCATGGAGGTGGAAACATTATGCGTTGGGGACAGCACAACTTCATCACATCAAAGGGACGATGGACGGGGCCATGTACTATCAAATCTTGGGTGAGAACCTCCTTCCCTCAGCCAGGGCATTGAAAATGGGTCGTGGATGGGTATTCCAGCATGACAATGACTCAAAACACACGGCCAAGGCAACAAAGAAGTAGCTCAAGAAGAAGCACATTAAGGTCCTGGAGGGGCATTGCCAGGCTCCAGACCTTAATCCCATAGAAAATCTGTGGAGGGAGTGAAGGTTCAAGCTGCCAAATGTCAGCCTCGAAACCTTAATCACTTGGAGAGAATCTGCAAAGAGGAGTGGGACAAAATCCCTCCTGAGATGTGTGCAAACCTGGTGGCCAACTACAAGAAATGTCTGACCTCTGTGATTGCCAACAAGGGTTTTGCCACCAAGTACTAAGTCATGTTTTGCAAAGAGGTTAAATACTTATTTCACTCATTGAAATGCAAATCAATTTATATAACTTTATTGAAATACGTTTTTCTGGATTTTTTTATTGTTATTCTGTCTCTCACTGTTAAAATAAACCTACCATTATAATTATAGACTGATCATTTCTTTGTCAGTGGGCAAATGTACAAAAATCAGCAGGGGATCAAATAATTTCCCCCCTCACTGTAAAGCCCTTTATAGCAATGGGCTTGGCTATCAGAGGGAGCACTTTCTCATTTCTGTCTTTCTATAAGATCTGATACAAGAGGCACATTGTGCGTCCCTGGGACCTAAAAAACACACTCTCTCTGAAACAGAACCCCCATTCCCAGTTCAGACAGCCTCAACCTTGGAAGTTTAAACAACCAAAAACTCTTTTTCCCTCAAGCTCTGGAATAGGTCAGGACATGCCCTGCCTGTTTTGGTTAAGTATACCTGTTCGTCTATTACAATAGCTAAAAATAAAACAAAAAATAAAGGTATCTGTTTTCAATCCATATGTTTAGAATTAGTGTTAAGTTGGGTATAAATTTAAATTGTAGATTATGTAACTGGATCTAAATCAAAGTCATACCTTGCTTTTTCCCCACTAACATTGGAATGTAATAGAATTTTAAAGTATGCAAATTTTAGGTTACTGTTGTCTAAAGGCTATTTCCAGCATCCAACTAGCTATTTTAGCTTAATCACATTTCATTACATACATTAGAGGATAATAATTCTCAAATATTAATGTAACCTAAACCAATAACTTATGTTCCCCTTCCCCTTAATGTGTACTTCCTATTCTTCACCATTCACTAGTTTTCAATAAAATCAAGTCCTTACTGTCTTTGCCAGACTACAGGCTTTCTCAGGTGAGTTTAATATTTCATAGTAGAACACAGAGAAATTAAGTGCCAGACCAAGTCGAATAGGATGTGTTGGCTGCATCTCCTTCTTGCTGATTTCAAATGCTTCTTGATATGCCTGTTGAGAATTTGCTACTGTTGCTATGAAGAAAGATAAGTATTTTTAATTCCTCATATTAGCAATCAAGTAAGAAAGAAATAATGAAAATCTTGAACAATTAAACTGAATGTTCTTTTACAATTATTTTAGTACAGAAAACAAATTTGTTTGTTATATTTTTAGAACATCCAAAAATAAATGTTCCTGGGAAAACGTACTTAAGATTCCCATCCAAGTATTAACCAGGCCCAACTTTCTTAACTGCTAAGATTAGATAAGTTCAGCTAGGTGGCGAACCTATGGCACGGATGCCAGAGATGGCATTCGGGGTTCTCTCTGTGAGTACATGGGCAGACTGAAATTGTAGGCCTGGAGGCCACCAGTACAGAAGAATAGCAAGGATTTCCTTGGGACTGGAGCCCCACCTCTGCAGGCATGCCCTGTCTCTCAGCTGGAATTATCTTGGTGAGTTGCTGCTGACACGAAGTGCTCTACTCCTTTCTTCTCATTTCACCCCTACAGGTGACTTATATAACCATTTGTTTAGCAACCATTCAAAATTACAATGGCACTGAAAAAAGAAACTTACAACTTGGTCCTTGCACATATGGCTGTTACAGCAACCCTACATTCAAGTAATCAAAATTCAGGTATTTATAAAGGCTGCAGCATTCCAGGGTGATGAGATCACCATTTGCAACCTTCCCAGACAGCCTCCAACAAAGCAAAATCAATGACGAAAGCTAGATTTGCTTAGCAACCGCAGTGATTTGCTTAACAATTGTGGCAAAAAAATAATAATCATAAAATCAGACATGACTCACTTAACAAATGCCTTACTTAGAAATGGAATCTCTGGTTCCAATTGGGATTGTAAGTCGAGAACTACCTGTACTTTCACTGCACAGAGCTGCAGCAGAGTTCCTACTTGTGTCACCAATCCTTCTGCAGGGCTTTAACCACAAGAACCACAAAGCCTGTGCCTATTCTTTTGGTTACTTCACTACGGGGACTTGAGCTGTTCAGAACTGGGCCACAGAAGTGGCAGGTGAGCGGGCACGCACATGCCCACTTGTGCAAGCAGCAGGCGAGCATGTGCCTGCCCCTCACACAAATGGAGCTGCGAGTGCACACTTGCCCGCCACTCATGTGGAACCATTCCCCCCCCCCGTCACCAAAGCCTGGAAGGTTGGGGAACTCTGCTTCAAGAAACTGTTATTCTTCAAATGGCTAGTAGGGGGATTAAAAGCGCTTGTATCTATTACAAAGCACGTCACAGGGCTGTAGCCTTCATCAAATAAAGTCTTGCAGCACTTTCTATTTTATGGCAAAATTGCTCTAGTTGGTAGCAAAAGGGTAGTGACTATGGAGATTAGAAACTAGCTTAGGATACCCATTAAGTGTGTTGAGGAAGAGATGATGAAGATTTTGGTTTGGAGAGCAAGCAAGGCATAATTCGTGACAAGCGACTAAAAAGTTTGCTCAGTTTTAAAATCTGAGGATTTGAAGACTGAATTAACATGACCTAAACAAATCAATCTAGAAATTTCTAAAATATGATCTGGGAATTTAAAAACTCCTAATTTTGTCATCACAAGCTTAAAATATATTTTAAAAAATACTGTGGTAAGATAAAAGTATCAATCAATATGAGAATACCTAAAGTTTATATTTGATTTTACACATGCAGAATTGCAAAGGATTTTTAAAACGGGAAAATAGAAAAATATCTACAGACTGTATACTGTTTGTATACAGGCAGTCCTAATCTTACAATGGCAACTGGGACCAGAATTTCTGCCACTAAGCGATGTGTTCATAAAATGCGACTCATTTGCTTAGCGACAGAAATCACTGCAGTACCAGTTGCTGTCATTAACTGAATCTCAACAGTTATTAGGTGAGGCAAGGCAACTTCCTGCTGCCTTCCCATAATCAAAGTCAATGGGGAAGCCATCAAGAAGTCACAAGCCCCAGGCCCACAAGCAGGTAGGTGGCTGCTGCCAGGTAGGGGATGGACCAAGGGGATGGAGATATGGGGGAGGATCAAGGATGTGCAAGAGGCACTGTGTGGGTCAGGGAAGATGAGCAAGGTGCCATGTGGGTCAAGTGCAGAGGTAGGAGCTGGGGGGAAGGTACATGGGAGGGGGAGACCTACCCCAGAGACTTGCAATCTTCCCTGCCGGCTTCTTCTTTGACTTTTCTGGGCAAGCTGGCATGGAAGGTTGCAAATGGTGATCATGTGATCGTGGGGTGTTTGGCAACTGATTGTAAAGGCAAACAGTTTGTCAAGTATCCAGATTGTGATCCCATGACTGCAGGGGGTATTGGGATGGCTGGAGCTCCAAGAACCAGTCATAACCACCCTTCATTCAATGCTGTCATAACTTCAAACAGTTGCTGAACCGTCAAAGACCACCTATAGTGACCTAACAGATCCTCCCACAATGTATATAAAAAGTGGGTGGAGGAAGATGAAGCATGGGGAATTAACCTAAGTTTCTGCCTGTCTTTAGCTGGGATATCTGGAACAGCATTACCGGAATCTAGTTCCAGTCCCAGCCTGAAAAGGTTACACAATAAAATATCAATAACTTAGCGAAAAGAACATCACCACACGTTAAACTAACATATGCACAGCCCACTTCATCCCAAGATTTTAAGGTACATGGAAAATTAGATTTCTATAAATATATACAGCAAACACATTTCATTCCATACATCTGTGCCTTTACAGGGTTAAGATGTGGAGAACAAGAACAACAAGTGACTCATGCTTTCTGCTTCCCACGCATTCTGAAGTAGAACGAAGTAGAACATTCACATTTTCTCTTGTGATCAGATCTCAATTCTCCTTGCATTGGGAGCACTGGTTAACTTGGAAGGCATAAATGCAATGAAACTCACTCCTTCCCTATATTTTGACAATCCTGAGTCAATTTGTAATTAGAAATGTTGGAACAAACCTTTAAAATGTTATCTATAGTGCCTGTAGGACATCATAAAAGATACCCTACCATAAGATACGTCACTTACTTTGCTTTTTGTCACCAGATGCCACCTCTGAAAGGTATCTGTAGTAATCGCCTTTCATTTTCAAATAGAAGACTTTACTTTCTGGTTGTGTGGCATTAACAATAAGGTACTTATCTAAGAGTTCCTGAAAAACAAATTAGCCATACAATTAAAAATTCTATTTCTTCAATTTATCATCATTTATTGAGATGAATTTTAGCAAATAAATTTCAGATGTTTTATTTGTTCAGCATGAAGGATGACTAATAATGTCCTCAACACAAGCTAGACCTATATAAGCTAGACCTATTTGGTGACCATATTCACCAAATAAAAAATATGTCCTGCTTATTAATGAATAGACACACACAGATAAAACCTCTCTATCCAGAAAATAATGAGCAAACACATCTAACAAAGGTAAATAATTAATGAGGATAATTAATAAGCAGAAAAATCAAATCAACTTTAACTAATGGTTCAAATTCAAGGTTAATAAGAAAATAGACAGCCATATAAATAGTTTCATCTATCTGCTAGTAACATTTAGAGTAACCTATCATAGCAAGCCCAAAACCAGCAGGTTTTACTGACTTATCAGAAATGGAATATAAGTAAAATGACATTCATGTACATGTACAGTGAAAATAAGTTATCCCACACATCAGGTTATTTTTCCCATTCATTTTGCTAATCAGCCCAGCCTACTTTCATTAGCTAAGGTTCATAAAAGTTCACTCTTTATAGAGGGAAAATAAAACATAAGGGCAAAGTTGCAGATTAGACTGCTGGCAATTTTTCCTTTGGGAAAAAGGACATTTATAGTGAGTCTATTGTTCTATATACCTACAATGGAAGAAGGTATTCAATAGTGGAGCATACGAAAGTAATCCTAAATAGTAGAAGAATCTTAAGGCCTAGCTACCGGGTTTCCCCCAAAATAAGACCAGGCCTTATATTAATTTTTGCTCCAAAGGTGGTGCATTAGGGCTTAATTTCCGGTTGGGTCTTATTTTGGGGGAAACATGCACTAAATGCTTCTGTCTGGCTAACGATCTTAATTGGGGCTTATTTTGGGGGTAGGGCATATATTTCGTGCATCCTGAAAAATCATGCTAGGACTTATTTTCCGGTTGAGTCTTATTTTCAGGGAAATACAGTAGTGGGAGGAACTACCGTATTTTCCAGTGTATAAGACGACTTTCTAAACCAGCAGTTCTCAACCTGTGGGTCCCGACCTTTTGGGGGTTGAACAATGCTCTCACAGGGGTCACCTAAGACCATCGGAAAACACATATTTCCGATGGTCTTAGAAACCGAGACACCACTCCTCTATCCGCCCGCCACCACCCTCCTCCTCCTCTGCCGGCTCCTCTGCCTCCAGGGTGCCCTTCTCCTCCGGCAGCGCCTGCTCCTGCCGCCGCACCATCGCGCGCGCCCCAACGCTGCCCTGGGCTGGCTCAGCGGCTGGTCCGAGTCGGGTCTGGGCCGCTACTGGCGCTGCCGCTGGGCTGCTCCGCCGCTGCCAGCTGAGCGGAGCTGCAGCGCTGATCCCGTCTCCATGCCTCCTGGTTGCCCGGCCGCGCTCTGCGCCACACGGGAGCCTCCCCTGCGCCGCCTGGCCAGTCTCCCTCGCCGTCGGAGGCCGCCTCGGCCCTCTGGCACCTGGCACGGCCGTGGGGCTGCCGGGCAGGAGTGGCTCCTTCCTGGCTCATCGGGCTCCGGGCCTCGGAAGCGGCCAGGGGGTGGGGAAGAGGGCGAGGCGGCGGCGATGCCTGCATGTGCGTTGGAGGCCAGCCAGCCAGCCAGGCTGGGAGGGGATAAGCAGCACCTTCCGAGCGGGAGCTGGCGCTCCAGCCGTGCCCCTCTTTCGTGCGATGGGATGTGCAGCGTGGAAAGGGGCTCCCGTGACCCCACCGCTGCGATGGTGCTCAGGAGGCTGGAGGGGTGGGCAGGTCCCGGGGGGCAACTGGGAGAGGGCAAGAGGTGCCGGGATGAGGATGGGAGGCTCCAGGTTGGCGGGTGTGAGAGGGCAGCCTGCGGCTCCGAGGCGCGCGGATCCTCCGCACAGCTTCCGAGGCCCCAGATATGCCGCCGCTTGGCTCTCCACCAGGCTCTCCGCCAGAGCCTCCCCCCCTCCCCGGGCAATTGTGCGGAGCTGCTTGTGCAGCACCTCCCCCTTCAATCTCTGTCCTTCTCCATCTCCTTCCTTTCCCCTTCAATCTTCCTTCCTTCCTTCCATCTCCAACTCCATCCCTTCAATCTCCCTCTCCTTCCTTCCTTCTCCATCTCCTTCCTTTCCCCTTCAATCTTACTTCCTTCCATCTCCATCCCTTCTCCTTCAATCTCTCTCTCCTTCCTTCCTTCCTTTCCCCTTCAATCTTCCTTCCTTCTCCATCTCCATCCCTTCCCCTTCAATCTCTCTCTCTCCTTCCTTCCTTCCCCCTTCAATCTCCCTCCTTCTCCATCTCCTTCCTTTCCTCTTCAATCTCCTTCCTTCTCCATCTCCTTCCTTTCAATCTTCCTTCCTTCCTTCCTTCCTTCCTTCCTTCCTTCCTTCCTTCCTTCCTTCCCCTTCAATCTCCTTCCTTTCTCCTCCAATCTTCCTTCCTTCCTTCCATCTCCATCCCTTCCCTTTCAATCTTTCTTCTTCCTTCCTTCCTTCCTTCCTTCCTTCCTTCCTTCCTTCCTTCCTTCCTTCCTTTCCCCTTCAAACTCCTTCCATCTCCTTCCTTTCCCCTTCAATCTTCCTTCCTTCCTTCCCCTTTCCTCCCTCCCAATATTTTTGAGCAAGGAAGATTAAGCTTCTCCAGCGAGTATTGTTATATTGTTTTTGTGATTAATCACTATGCTTTAATTATGTTCACTTCGTAACAATGAAAATACACCCTGCATATCAGATATTTACATTAATATTCATAACAGTAGCAAAATTACAGTTATGAAGTAGCAACGAAAATAATTTTATTGTTGGGGGTCACCACAACATGAGGAACTGTATTAAAGGGTTGCGGCATTAGGAAGGTTGAGAGCCACTATTCTAAACCATGAAAATCTTCTCAAAAGTCAGGGGTTGTCTTATACGCCGGAAAATACGGTATTCTTTGCAGGATTGTTTAGCCAAAGAAGACTTCAAAAGAAGTATAAATATTTAACTTCTAGTAGTTGCAGTTGCAAATTATCTGTCATCGAGCTACACATGTGGTGGAGTACATAGACCAAAGATCAACAAGTAGTAATGTACTACAAAAATATAAAATCACAATATAAGGAAAGAAGTTTCTAGGATACAAGCCTATGATATACAATAAAATCAAAATGTGCATTTTCAATGTTTTTATTTTAACAACTTCATAGGGTCCAAATAAAAGAAGCACATTAGTGCTTTAAAAATAATTTGACAATGTACAATACCACATAGCCACCTTGCACATATCTCATAAAGCAGGGGTGTCAAACTGCTGGCCCATAGGCCAGATTCATCACAACAAAACTGCGCCCACCCCAGTGCCGGCAATGGGGAAAAAGTCACGATATATCGCGAGTTTGACACCTAGAGGAATATTTGAAAGTAATAAAGCTGATAGCACTTCATCTAGAATTGGACATGACCCTCTCTGGAATATGTCTGAACTCCATAGATAGGATAAATAGCATAACACAGCAGGCTTAATGGCATGGAAACTCGGTAACCAAGGGCTGTTTGTTTTAAGGGCAGACAGAGGTAGTCAATGAGTCTGAATTCAAAGGTTCTGGTCTGCTAGCCTCTTACAGCTACAGAACATCAATTTTGGATCATGTTTTTTCGAACAGTGACTCAATCTGCAGCAAATGATGGGAGCTAATTTCAATAAAAACAAGAAATAACCTTTGACACTATGCCGTAATCTAGCAATAAAGCTGAGGGACACTCTTGAAGACACGATCTTGAGTATTGAAAATCAGCATGTGATTGTAATGGCTATCAGTAAGGTTCTTCAACAAGAAATGGCTCTGAAAATTTAAAATTGGAATACACATTGCCCCCCTTTTAAGCTAGAGCAGGGTTTCCCCACTGGGGGTGCGAGATAATCATCCAAGGAGTGCAAAAACTTGGATTTAGAAGTTTCAAAATTATAGTATATATGCATAATTCATTATTTCAAAATTTTATAAGGGGTGCAAGAATATATCAGAAGCGTTCTAGGGGTGCGGGGTATAGAAAAAGTTGGGAGCCACTGAGCTAGAGCATCCTTTTGGGGCCATAACCCTTTCAGAATTTTTACAAGGTGAGTCCATTAATATCTTTATATTCATTTTAGCTAATATGGCTTAGATATGAGAGAATGAATTAGAGCAGTGTTTCTTAAAATATGGTCTAAGGACTCCCAGGAGTCTCCCAAGGCCTTCTCAGAGGTCCACAAACTCAAAATTTGCCAGACATTGAAGTATGTCTAGTTTAATGAAAAGAAGGACTAGGGAGCGACATGATGGCAGTGTTCCAATATCTAAGGGAATGCCACAAAGAAGAGGGGAGTCAATCTATTCTCCAAAGGACATGAAGACAGAACAAGACTAATCAAGGACAGAAGTAGCCTAGAACTAAGATGAAATTTCCTGACAGTTAGAACAATTAATCAGTGGAACGATCTGCCTCCATAAACTGGAGGTTTTTAAGAAGAGAGTACCTACCGCAGCCGCCAGCCACTCGCCAGAGCTGCAGGCCCGCCCAGCACACAGGAGGCAAAGTGGTCGGCTAGGAAGCCCACGTAGAGGTGGTAGGGCATGCCCAGGGCCAGCAGGGAAAAGGCCATCCTAAGCGGGGAAAGCCAGATCCCCATCAGTGTCATGGTTGCCCAGGCCCAGCAGAGATGGTGAGTGGAAGCAGGCAATCCTAGCTGTAGCTGCTGATGGACACCGTCAGCCCCTATGTGCTCACTGGCCTGTGTGCAGGGGCCGATGGTGTCAGGCAGCAGCCGTCCCGGCCCCTGCCTCGCCTTTCCTTGCCCCACAGCAATAGCACCCATGCCCTGCCCCCTGCCTCAGCTCGCATCACCCCACAGAATGAATCTCCTGCCCACTGCCCCACCCACCAGAGACCCCCTGGATCTCCCCCAACCCTGTCCAGCCCCCACAGGCATCCTCCCCATGAGCAACATCGAGGTGGCCATGCCCACCCAGTCTGCCATTACCACAACCATGCCCACCCAGTGGGCCACGACCCCCGAGGGCACCACAATGCTGATGCGGCTCTGGCACTTTGTAATAAATAAGTGGTTTTGGGTTGCAGTTTGGGCACTTGGTCTCTAAAAGGTTCACCATCACTGGTATAGGGCACAGGTCGGCAACCTGCGGCTCCGGAGCCGCATGCGGCTCTTTGAGCCTTCCCCTGTGGCTCCCAGCCTCCTCTGCCTTTGCAGAGAGAGACAGAGACAGAGAGAGGCAATTGCGCTTCCCTGCCTCTCTCTCTCTGTGTGTGTGTGTGTGTGTGTTTGTGTTTGTATTTTTTGTGTGTGTGTGTGTGTGTGTGTGTGTGTGTGTGTGTGTGTGTGTAAAAGAGAGTGCACTCACAGTGTTCTCCGAGGAGCTGAAAAGCTTACTGGGCGGATCTCCTCCCTTTGCTGCGTCTCTGCAGGAAGCAGGAAGGGCAGGAGAGAGCTAGCTAGCCCAGCTAGGCTGACTCAGGAATTCTGGGAGTTGAAGTCCATGAGTCATAAAAGAGACGAGGTTGCCTACCCCTGAGATTGTTGGAGAACAACTTGAAGCTTGCCAGGTGAGCAGCAGATGGGGGGAGGAGAGAGAGAGAGAGAAAGAGAGAGAGAGAGGGAGGGGGAGAGACAGAGGAAAGAGAGAGAAAGAAAGAGAGCGGGGGGAAGAGGAGTGGCAGACCAAGGGCAGAGAGGGAGGGAGGGAGAGAGACAGAGAAAGAGAGACCCTTTTGACATCTAAAATGAAGATAACACTGCATATATCCTTTTTTTACCTGTGTGTGTATGTAATTTTATTCTCTTAAAGCATTCTCTCGGTGATCATTGTTTTAATAGTATGGATATTCCCAAGAGTCATATTTTTACTTTTATTTTGAATGTGTATATGTGTGTATATATACACACACATACACAAACACACACTCTCTCTCACACACACACACACACACACACACACACACACACACACACACACACACCTATAATAAAGATAAAAAAGGATATATGCAGTGTTATCTTCATTTTAAATATCAAAAGGGTTTTGCGGCTCCCGGTATTTTGTTTTTGGTGGGAAACGGGTTCAAGTGGCTCTTTGAGTGTTTTGGGTTGCCTACCCCTGGTATAGGGCCTCCTGCTTGAGCAGGGGGTTGGACTAGAAGTCCTTCAATGTTTCCCCCCCCCAACTCTATTATTCTGTTAGGTTTGAAAAAGAATAAAATACCACTCATTTTTTTCCCCATTAAAATAAGGTTTTTTCATGAAAAATATTTTATGGCATGAATTAGAGGGACTTGAGAGATTCAAAGACAACCAAGTTGAAAAGTCCAGAGAAAGGGACACTTCTAATGGGATGGAAGCATCAGAAAAACATTAGTAGTCTGATCAAGTAAGAGGTCTGTGAGAATGCTCAGCTTTTTTCCCTTGATCCCTAGGCTCTTGTGAAATTTCTTAATTGGTAAAGTCAATTTTCTAGTTGTATCTAAAGTAGGATACTCTTTCTCATTTGCCATATTGCCTTTCCTCCTAACTAATAAAAGAGAGGATACAGAGCCCACAAAATCCTCACACAGGGACAGAAAGTAATAACCCAGTGCCACAGTTTTCTCCAATAATTTGCTTTTTCTCCACTTGCAAGAAGTTGAGTGGGCAACTGACCGCGATGAGGGCGTCTGAGAGGGAAGAAGGGAAAGGTTGATTGTATTCTCCTCACATATGCATTTCTCCATTATACGAAGGTTCATTTGGTACCCATGCTTAGCAAAAAAACAAACAACAAAAAAAACAGTTCCCATGTTATGATATCAAACTGGCAGGGTTGGTGTGCTGGGAAGAACAATCATAGGGCTGGAAGGGAACTTAGAGGTCTTCTATTCAATCCCCTGCCCAAGACGGGAATCTTTATTTCTGGACAAATGTTTGATCTTTTCTTGAAAGCCTCCAGCGATAGAGCATGCGAGGAACCCACTCTCACTTTCAGAAGTCAGGAAGCTCATTGCAAGTTATCTTTACTACCATAACTGCCAGTGATTTCTTTTGAGGCATTCTCAAAATTCTTTCCAACAGGGACAGTATTAAGCTGTCTGTGCATGATCTGATCATGCTAAGAGGTTAAGGAAAAGACAAACTGAAAAAAAGAAAAGCAAAATAAAAGTTACAAGATTGCAGACTATTGAAAGGAATTAAAATGACCACTTCTTTCTTCAGGAAAACCTGAAAGTGTGAATCTATGTAGCAAAGTAAATGGAAGGAATAACCCACTACCAGATGAAACAGCTTATAACAGGAATGTTAAACTCACGACATCACATGATGTATCATGACTTTTACCCATTGCCGGCAATGGGGTGGGCACGGTTTTGTCATGATGCATTCGGCCCGCAGGCCAGTAGTTTGACATGCCTGGCTTATAATATACTTGCAGTAATTAAGTGGATGAAACAAACAAAATTATCTGAGGGATGAGGGAAAGGGTGATTTAAAGCCATTCTGAATAGTTATCTGTCCAATATCAAGTGGAAATCTCCAAAGATTTTATTAACTGTATCTAATGATCTGTTTTTAATTTATATGTGCATATGTTACACATTACAGTAAGCCTTAAAAGATTTCTTTCAGTAAACTAATTACAAACTTTTCTTTCTGTTGAACTGTATTAGATTGAACAAGGAATAGAACTTATACTGTTGATGCAACACAATAAGTATTTTTAGAAAGAATATACTTTAAGAAGTGCTGAAATACAAATTGCTACTGGACTCTCACCAGAACATCATTGCATATGTCCTGCAACTCAGCCTCAATCTTCTCACGATATTCTCTTCCCATCTGCTGTTTTTTCTCATTCCGTTCTGTCTTCTGTTCAATGCTGGAAATGACACGCCAAGAAGACCGACGAGCACCAACCACATTTTTGTAGGCAACAGATAGTAGATTCCTTTCTTCATTGGATAGCTCATGACCCTGCTCAGTGACAGCCTTCATGGCAGCAGCCATATCATCATAGCGTTCGGCCTGCTCAGCCAATTTGGCCTTCTGTACAAGCTCACTTTTATCCATCGTTATTCCTAAAGAATAGGAAAAATCTAAGTAGTACATAATGTGCATTTCATATTCATGTCCCTCAAATCTAGAGGAAAATATTTTAATAGTAAAAGCAATACATTTTTATGTCTGAGCTAAAAAATGAGAACAGTTTGCTCTTCAATAGTGCGAAAATGACACTGAGAGGGGAGTTTCCCAGACAAGAAATAAAATTACCACAGACACCTATCATCAAGCCTGAAAAATGAGAATAAAATGTCCATTAAATCATGGGAAACGAAAAGGAAAAAGGATAAAAAAGGATTAGATTTGAAACCGTCACCTCATATTGATAGACAACAGTCAACTGCTTAAAATAGTTTAATCCAAGTATGCAATAAAAATCCATAAACAAAAGGGAATCAAACAAATAAGGATTTTTTTTAAAAAATATTTTGTGTAGTAGGCCATCAATTTCTCTAATCATTACTTTTATATCCCATACATGTTTTATCATAACCACATTTTCAAGAATTTGGTTTCACCACTTCCAGTTATTTGCTAGGATCATCAGATCCAGCACTATACTTAAAAGAAGCTTGCTATGAAATGGAATCTAACCAGCTTTTAAAAAACAGAGCACAAGATAACTGAAAAACAGATCTAATTAATAGCAGATACCCTACAATGATAGTGTGACATGCCTTCTTTCTGTAACCCAGTAAGCCTAGGGACTCAACTTTATATGCAAGTGATGGAAATACAGAACAGGCAGAAGAGCTACCTGGATTTGTGTCCAAAGTATTAAAGAAAATCAGAACCAGACTGAAATGCAGACACCCTTATATTATGCATATCCACTGAGACCTATTCTTCTTTGTTCCAATTTCATATTAGATTCTATAGGAACAGAAAGTGGAATTCCTTACTAAAAAGTATGTATATATGTATATATATGTATATATATATATATGTGTGTGTATATATATATATATATATATATATATATGTATGTATGTATGCATGTATGTATGTGTGTGTGTGTATATACACACACACACACACACACACACACAAACTCTCAAAGCATTGAATTCTAAGTTTGAAGATGAGATTAAGAGTTCTGTTTTTCTGTCCCACAATCACTGCAACACTATGGGAGTCACTATCTGTGGCTATATAAACAAGATAAATAAAAGAATAAACAAACCTCCAACTTGTAAGTCATTCTTAACCATTTCCTAAATCTCTGTAATATTTAAAAACCATTGCTATAAATCTCTTATAATCACAAATAAGAGACACAAAGATGGATATTGTTCTTAATACAATACTTTTTAGCAGCAGGGAGATAACTTTCAAAATTTTGCTTTGACAAGTAGAAAGAGCTCAGCAATCTTTGACACCAATCTAAATCTGAATCATGGACAATATTAGCTTCAAATCAATTACAATATTTTAAACTCTATTAACTCCAGATATTGAATTGTCTCATTCTGTTACCCAAATTGTACCTGCAGAATAATTCATTGTCCCTTCTCAGCATCCTGAAATTACTCTGCAGTTAAGAGGATTCTCCAGAGCAGACTTAGACTACATATAGCAAATCTACTCCACTAAATAATGCATGTAGTCTTTCATGATTAAATATTGCTCACGTGAACAAACTTCCTTTGAAATACTCCATAAATGCATATAACTTCTAATCCAACTTTTTGTTCCTCAATTTGTCATATAACATGGAATGGAAGAAACTAGGCGTCAGAAACTAGGCCAATTAACAGAACATCTTAACATCAACTTCACCTGCATCTATATATGCAGCTGATAAACAATGTGGCACTCAGAAATTCAATTAGAGAAGTCAAACAGGAAATACTGTAACAGCCAGTCACAGATATAACAAGTCTTCAATATTTGGGGATATCTCATAATGGAATGCAATGTATTTGCTACCAATTTTAGAGAAAAAATTGCAGCTAATAGATATTTCAACTGTCATTTCTGCTCACTCGGGAGTACAAAACCAAAACACTAGTTTCTGAAAATAGGAATTATGAAGGATAAAGCTTGCTAGCCACCAAAAATAATAGTTAAGGTTATTAAGGCTTATCATCTCCATTACATTAAGGAAAACAAAAATGAATTGATTGTTCACAAGCATGGCTCTTTATGTGTATGGACATTCTCAGTCATCCATAACATGGTTGTTCCAAAGGTACTTTTTCAAAAGACAACTGGACTTTGTTTTTCCTTTAAGACTTTTCACTTCTCATTCAAGAAACTGAACAGAACTGAGGAAGCATTTTTGGGACATGGCTCTTTATATCTTCTTATTCTGGGATAATTACTTTGCTTTTGATTTATATAACGCATGAACTACAGAAGCAAAAAATAAACCATTCTATCAAAGGACAGTTGCAAAATGGCAAATGTGACATATTACTTAAATTGTTTTTATTGTTATTGGTTGTTTAATGATTACATTTGTGCTACTCTTTCTCAGTCAAAAAGTATGATTAGGTTGTACTTACAGTCCCTAGCAAAAGGATATGAATGACTAGGTACAGTATTGTTTGATCAAAAGGAATGAACTTGGTTGAGATTTTTTTAAAATGATTAATTTCATGTCTTACAGGAGTTCTAGCACTTATTAAATTTTATATTTTACTGTGCCCAACATATTTATAACAGAATTTGTTATAAATTTGTTATAAGACTCTGGAGACAATACATTCCTTCAAAAAAGGTGTTTTTTTTTTTTCATTAAGAAGCTAAATGGGGCTAAATGGGTAAAGGAAGAATCTGAAAAATGGGAAACTGTTTGGAAAGAACTGAACATTGATTCAAAACTTTGGTATTGCAACTGATTATAGGAGCTTTTGAAGATAAGTTACAGTTTCAACTGTAAAAATATCATTCATGGTATTTTATTGGCTGAGTTCACACAATTTATTAAGCCATTATATAATTTGCTCGATTTTGGATTATTATACTACTGCATATTAGAAACTAAATTGGAACGGGCATTAAGGTCATTATATCCAACAACTAGATCAATACAAAAATCCAAATTAAGCATTCCTGACAATGCTTTCTAAACTTTATCTGAAAACATCTAATGGATCCCACTACCTATCTGCCTAAATGGTTCCACAATTCTTTTAAAATTTTATGTTGCCAAACCTTTTAGATTTATGGCAAATTACAATCAAATAGAATACAGTATAGTAAAATGCAGGGGGGGGGAGTTTACAATTTTTTTATTATGGGTAGTTAGATCCTTGTTTATTTTTTAGATATCAAAGAAACAACCCTAGTTCTCTTAAGAAGCAAATTCAACCCAAATTAAATAGCAAGACAAGTATCTCCAACTGTCAAATATTACTATTAGATCACGGGTGCTGGAAATCACACAATCACTCATGAATTTTAGGAAATTTGTTAGCAACAGAAACAAGAAGCAAAAAGGGGGAGAGAAATAAAAGCTTTAAAAACAAATGACAAATTTAATTCCCTTTATAATTCAGGAGAACAGACATGCTGATGCAAGACCAACAGAGGCATTGACAGATACTGCAGATTATGTGATGCTCTCCCAACAGGCAGTATCAGCTGGTGGTGACTTTTCAGGGAATGAAACAGTAGTATATCCTTGGGGCCTATTCCAATAGTGTGGCAATACATCACTTGCTCTTTATGGAAGAGCAAGTTTTCACATGTTTTACTTTTAATCGCAATAAGCAAGTCAATAATTAGCTATAGTTGATAACTCACCTTATAAAATGGATAGTAGTCTACAATACTTATTGTGCCAGCATCAAAACAAGTTTTTTCCTACATATAATACATTATGCTAATTGATAACCACATGAACAATTTATTAATTTTTCTTGGCAACAGTATGGTAGCAGTTAGGCAATGTCTTCTTCCAGATGCTTTCTGATCTTTAAGTCTAGCGCAGTGGTTCTTAACCTGGGCGATATTGCCCCCCAGGGGGCGATTTCATTTTTCAGGGGGGTGATGGAACGAAAAGGGGCGACGCGGGGGCGAAGGAACGAAAAGGGGGCAATATTGGGGCGATGAAGCGAGAAGTTTTGGGGACACTTTTGAGACTTTTTCGTACAGTGAATCGCTGTATATCTGTCGTACAAAAACATCAGATGGTCGCTATTAGTGGATTGAATTGTGTTTTCAAATGTTCCTCCAGCTAGCTTCAGTACAGAACGCCATACATATGTGAAGACGCATCACTTATCTTCATGCATGTTGCGCAGCAGCCTCTATCCATACAGTGGCGCGCCATTGGCCAGAATATGGGAGATATGGGGAAAAGACTGGAAATAAATTATTTGCATCAATATGTCCTGATGACAATTTTAAAGAAAACAAAAAAGGTGTTTGCATAAATTGAAGAATTATTTCCTATGTTGTGATTGAGAGGTTACGTTGGGGGAGGGGGGGCGATGACAATTTCCTCATTGGCTCAAGGGGGCGATTCGTTCAAAAAGGTTAAGAACCACTGGTCTAGCGTACAGCTCTAGAATTCTTTGGTAATCTTCCATCCAGTACTAACCAGGAGCAGCCCTGCTCAGTTTCTGAACATAGAAAAGGCAAGCTAAGTGCTAGCATCTCCCAAGACACTCAAAATGAACAAAATTCTGGAGCAAGTGCAATCTTTTTAAAAAATGGCTCCTCAGATCTCCTCGTTAGGATCTCTCATCCTCACAGATCCAATTGCTTTATCATTCCAACACAACTGGGGAAAGGCCTACCCATTTGCTCTGACTACAGATCCACACTCCATTCCTTTTTCCTAATGGGAATTCCCGAATGTACAATGCATGCAACAATAACCTTTTCTGTGGCGATATGTAAGATGCAACTTCACTTCTTAAGATCACTGAATTTGAAATAGAAACTCAGAATATATGCGTGATACGAACAATTCTGCTCCGGGTCTACCTCGAAGCCTAATTTAAGCCACCGTGTTTAAGGAACCGGGATCCTACCGCTCCGGGGGGGGGGGAGACAAGGGGCATTGGGCAGCCAGGAAGGTTACGTTGAAAAAGAGGCCCGCCCTCCACCCGCTCTGCGACCGCAGCGGGGTCTCCCCCAGAATCGCCGCCAAGAACGAAGAGCCCCGTCTCCGGTTTTTTACGCACAGGTGAGCACGCCCATGCCCGAGCAGCAGCAGCAGGTGACTCAGCCAGGGCGTGGCGCTGCCAAGCTTAGGTGACCCCTCCCGAGAAGCCTCGCTCCAGCGGCGAAACGGGGGCAAAAAGCAGCGCGCCAAGAGCAGGCGATTCCCTCCTCCCCTTCGCTTCAAAGGCGGCACTCCCATGGCGGTAGCCGGGCAGTTTCAGGGGAAGCGTGGCGGAAGACCCCGCGGACCTCAGTGGGCCAGTTGCTTCTGCGTCTCGGGAAGAGCGCATTCGAGAACCCTCCGGCAGGGTCAAGTAGCCGGAACCGAGCAGGCCTCGGCTGCGCTCACCCCCCTCCCTTCGGTTATATGGGGGAAGGGCAGAGCAGCCGCCGCCGCCGCTCAGCGGTGAGGGCGGGGGAAGTTCGGAGGGGGGAGAGTTTTGGCGGGACAGCGCTCACCTGACTGGGTGCGACCGTGGCGAAATGAGAGGAACGTTCGGGCCTCGGACAGCGGGCGAAGCAAGCGTGTCGGCGCGCAGCCACCCGCTTCCCTCTTACCACACTTACACACCCTGCGGCTCCTGCAGCTCCTTCCGCCGCCAGGGTCACGCCTTTTCCGGCACGGACACTCCTCTCCTTCCTCCCCGCCCCCTTTTCTTTTCCGCTAAGCCCATTGGACGAACCGGACCGCGGAAAGGAGTGGGCCGGCGGCAAGCGAGGCGAGGTTGCTCCGTAGTTAGGGCAACGGGCATATGCATTTGCAGGTCTGCGCTGGGTGGGCGCGGGGGAGGCAGAGGAGACGGGCTTTTCCAACGAAGTCGCTCCTCCCGCTGGACAGGACAGGCCTTGGCCACCGCAGGACTCTCGTTCGTTTGGCACCGCCCTTACTTTGGTTCAGCCCAGACCCCTCCTTGTCTGGGTCAGATCGACCTAGTATAGGATTTTCTGAAAGATACTAAAGGGGAACCGGGGGGGGGGAGATGCGCGCTCCCCTCTTCGCTTTTCCTGATGGTAGCTTCTCTGCCTGCCCGGATTTGCAGCTGCACCTTGCAGCCGATTCGAAACGGAACTGAAAGGCGGGGCTTGCGATGATCCGGGGAACGAGAGGAGGAGACCGCCAGAGCGACCACTAGAGGGCAGCAAAGGGATCCAGAAAAGGGGGCTCTCATCAACCTCTTGCCTTCATCTGGATTTTGCACCCCAGATTTTGTGGCTCTAGTACTGATGCTGTCAGGTCCCCAAACCCTTATTCTTTACCTTGCATATATATTCTATTTTGGGGGCCTGCCATTTTGCTAGGGGGAGGGGGAGCTCTGCATTTGCTTGGGATAACTTTCACTTTCTGCTCTCTCCTCTTGCCTTCATCCCTATGAGAAAGGAGTGTGTCTCCCTTACCATGGAAATGATTACAGAGAAACGAAACTGGAGAAGACCTTGAGATGCTGCCAACTGTGCCAGCTAACTGTTCTTCTGTCCAGCTGTGGACTGGCTGGATTCTTTGGTGGGAGGAGGAATATTGCTTAACTATACCGTTTCGAGGGGCTTTTTCCCAGATCTCACCTTGACTTCCCTACTGTCACTGACCCCTAATAAAAATATCCTTTTGAGATGATGCCTGTTTGAATAGTTCTGCTTTCTTGGGTGGTTAGTAGAAGTGGGACCTTACAGTTGGCAACCTATTCTTTCCCGCTTTTATTTCTCCCCGCAGCTGTTTGGATGTGTAAACCTCCAAAATGGTTTTCCTCTCTCAAATGCAACTATGTACTCTTCCGCTTATGGCTCCATGGGATGGGGAGGTCTCTTTGGCGAGGTTTGCCTTCTGGGCCAGAGAACTCCTGGAGAAGATGAAAGATGACTGGGCTTGCATGGGGGATTTTCCTTCTGTAATATATCTCTGATCCCAAAGGACAATTGGTGGCTCTTGTGCTTCTCAAGCAGGCATATCAGTTTTAGGCCGAGCCCAGGCTAAGGGCATCCAGTTGAGGGAAGCAACAAGCCAATCACGGGCCATGGTTCCTCATGGTTTCCAGTTGTGCTCTTGATGCTTTCCAGAGTTTAGAATAAATTAGGCTTAGCAAATGCCATAATAAATAATACTATTTGAACTCGAACCTTGGTGACAAATGGACACAAATGAGCATTTTTTTAGGCAATAGTACAAAGGGGGTTTTGCAATGGTTGTCTTCTGGAATGTTTTTTTACTTGAACCTTTGGGCTTGGGATTTCCTTGTAATCTCCCATTCAAGTACTAAATATTCTAAGTCTGACCCTGCTAGGCTTTTCAGGGTGAGGTCAGATTCACAGAACATCCTTACTCTAGTTGGAGAAGAACATGTCTACACATCACCACCTAAATCTTATCTGCCTACAGCTGAAACTGCAGGCATCATACCCACTAGGGACAGCTTTCCACTTTCTCTTCTGGGACTGGAAAGGGAAAATTGAGATAGGGGAAGAGGCAAGATAGCAATTCTGTCTTAAATCTGTTGATTGTCTCAGTGGCTATTAAGCATTGCATCATAATAACTATTGCATCATATCTTCCAAATGTTCTATGGTTTATTTTAAGCTAATACACAAGTGGTGTAAGTGCTTAAGTGGTGTAAGTGCTTAACTGAAATCCACGTTTAACCTGATACTCCCTGGGTGGCTTTTCATGTGATTCACAGGGCTGTTGTGAAAATGAAGTTGGACCCATGCCCTTATTCTCTAAATTCCTTTATTAAAAAAAGTTGATATATTAAAAACAAAGAGTGGATTTGCTTCTTCCCCCTCTACTTTCAGTATGGCAGTTGGGGCCCAAATAGAAAAAGATTCCATATATCAGCTGGTCATTTCCTGTTATTCTAATAGGAGATCCTTCTTTTATGTTCTCATCTAGATTTGTAGCCTAGTTCCTAATAATCGGGGTGGTTATTTCTGAAATATGATTGAGGCCTCATAAACCTTCACTTTATGGGAGTGCCCTTTCCCAAGTAAAAGCTCCTCACTGGACAAAGAAACATATTTCCCTGATAAACATTGATGTGGGTGGAGAAAATATATGCCTGGAAGAAATCTAGTTTGCTTAGACTCTCAGTCCCAAAGGTGCTTTTTTATGAAGCAACTGGACTTTCTTGTTTTTCTTTGAAGACATTTCGCTGAAGAAGCTTCTTGGATGAGAAGCGAAACATCTTCAAAGAAAAATAAGAAAGTCAAGTTGCCTCGTGAAACAGCACCTTTGGGATAACCATAACCTGGATGATTGAGAATCTCCATAGACATTCAGAGTCCTTCTGCCAGTTGATTATAGGAGATCATCACCCTGAAATGTGAAATAAATTGATTTCTGTCTCTGCCTGATTCTATTCAGCTAGAGGGAAATCTCAATAGTATCCTTACTTTGCCTCTGCCCATTCTAACTAGTACAATACCATCCTTGTGTCTGGGGGAGAATGACAAGGAACTCCTCTTAATGGAACGGGATGCTTCAATTGAACTTGAGAGAAGATTTATCCATCAGTTACAATTGGCCTGCCTATTTATTAATAGCTATGAAATTTCTTAGCACTATGGAAGTATTGAAAAAGGAAGATATGTGAATGAAAAAGAGTTAGCATTAGGCTTTAAACATATTAAAATAATGCAGCAAAACAGAGGTGTCAGTATGGGGGTTATAAAAAGTTAAGATGGTGGCCACAAGCATAAAATCATAATAACTGTCTGCTCTAGATGAGTTCAAATTAACAGGACCTGACAGGTTACATTCCAGAGTTCTGAAGGTACTGGCAGATGTGATCTCGGAATCATTGAACCATATTTTTCAAGGATCCTGGAGCATCAGGGACTACGAGAGGACTAGAAAAGAGCTGATGTGGTTCCCATCATCAAAAACAAGGGGGAAAAAACAAATCCAGGAAATTAAAGACCAATCAGTCTGACATCAATACCTGTAAAGATCCTGGAAAAGATAATCAAGCAACTGATCTGCAAACACCTAGAAGCAACTAAAGTTTTAACCAGAAGCCAACATGGGTTTGCCAAAAACCGATCATGCCAAACAAACAGCAGTATGCAGCAGCAGCCAAAAAAGCCAATGCAATTTATTAACGGATTGAATCAAGATCAAGTGAAGTATTAGTATGGCTTTATAAATCCTTAGTAAGATCACATATTGCATCCTGTTTTGGTCACCACAATATAAAAAGGATGGTGAGACTCTAGAAAGAGTGCAGAGAAGAGCAACAAAGAAGATTGGGGGCTGGAAACTAAAACATATGAAGAATGGTTTCAAGAATTGGGTATGACTAGTCTAATGAAATGAAGGGCAAGGAGTGATAGCAGTGTTCCAATAGCCGAGAGGCCACTACAAAAAAGAGGGATGCTGGTAGTGTTAATCTATTTTCCAAAGCACCAGAAGGCAAGAAAAGAAACAATGGATGTAAACTAATCAATGAGAGGACCATCCTAGAACTAAGGAGAAATTTCCTAACAGTGAGAACAGTTAACCAGTGGAATGACTTGCCTTCACTGGAGGCTTTTAAGAAGAGAATGGACAGCCACTTGTCTGAAATGGTATAGGGCCTGCTTGAGCAGGAGGTTGGAGTAGAAGACCTCCGAAGTCCCTTCCAAGTCTGTTATTCTGAATAAATATAACAGAATAACAGAGTTGGAAGGGTCCTTGGAGATCTTCTAGTCCAAACTCAAGCAAGATACCCTATACCATACCAGAAAATAGAACATGGGTTCTATTTATAGGTACATAAATTACAATTGAAGAAACTCTGTAAAAGAATGAAATCAATGAAAGGTAGCAAGCTCTCTCCTTTTGATTGGCCTTGTGATTTTTTAACACCCGGAAGAGAGGCTGCTTTGACAAGCGAGCTCTTCTTATTTACTCTTGTGGAATTGTGAGATAACAAACTTCTCACTCTGATCCCAGTTAGATAATTATTTCCCACTTTTGTCTTAGCTGGGTGCCCATTATCTGCTAGGCCCTTAGCAGTGTAGCTAATCATCATTAATAAATGACCTCAGAGGTTGCCTAGAAGTGGGCTTGGTCCAGACCTTAAGTATAAGGACCTTTTAAATAAATCTTTATTTATTGTAAGCATCTTGGTATCTTCTTTGGGGTTTACCTTTTTTTGTATCCAATCCACAAACACACTAGCCAGCAACAGCTCCCTTTCACTGAAGTGTTCTAACAACCATAAACTGAGGTTTGTTCGGTTTAGATTCCTGAACAAACACCACTGAATCCTTGGCCTTTCAATTCTGTGCATCCATATCAATATCACTTTCAGCCCATGGAATGACATCTAACAGCAAACACATTCCTCTTCTGCTCACACTTCCATCAGCTTTCCTCTGATTTCAGGAGCACAGGGAAGATGAATGGAAGGAAAAATTCTCTAGCACACAGAGAAAAGAATACTTGCACCCTTAAACTTCCTTTAATCTTGAAAAAATAGTATACCTGCTTCCAAGTCTATGTAGGTTTGAAACGCCTTTAAACCAAATACAGAAGCTCTCGAGTGCTTTGAAATTAGCCATAGCCCAAAGAAAATGCCTTGTACATGATGGATTATACTCAAATTGTGTAGATAATTCAAATTCACAATTTTTAATG